ATAAACATATAAAACTATATACATTGATACATACAAGTATGGCGATACCACTTGATCAAGTATTGAAAAATGTTTATTTTGAAATTTTTGATAATAAACATTTCATTTAAATTGCCTTGGAACTACTTAAAAAAATATTTTTTTTATGCACAAAATTGGCCCACTTCAATAAAAATGGGTACAAAAACGTTATCACCACGTATCACCAAGAGGGAAAAACTCTTAAAAATTGATCACGTTATTAATGGACGCCCCTTTGTGTATATGTACATAATGTGAAGCAAAATCAATTAAATTCATATTATTGATAAAATTTCCTGGCGCCAATGTATGTAACTGCTGTTTGGTGTCAATTGACCTTACAGAATTTTGAACTTGATTCTATGCCATTGCAGAACAGAATCTATATTCATTACGAGATTGTCTATTTATATACAAATACATTCCACGCATATATATATATATATATATATATATATATATCTAAACTGGGGATCAAAATAAGATACTTTGCTGAAGAAACCATATCTCTAATATGAATTCTGACGTCTGTGCATTGACCGAAAGATAAGGGTTAAATGTTGAATAACCTCTCAGGGGTGATCCCAGGGGGTGAAGCACGTTCATGAGTGAATCGGCTTTCCAAAGTTAGTGGTTGTAGTCCATACATTGAGACAATATAAATGGGTCAAAATTTTTCGAATTTTAATCCTCATTTTTGGGTCAATGCACGGGACATCAGAATTCCTTTTAGAGGTATGGTTTCTTCAGCAAAGTATCTTATTTTGATCCTTAAAATAAGATACTTAAAATAATAAATAAAATCATTCTCGCGATTTTTTTTGACCCATACAAATCGACCCGCTCTAATACACACACACATATACGTATATATATATATATATATATATATATATATATATATATATATATTATGTATATATGTTCATAGACATTTATATGACAACTACACCCAAAAAATAACGAATATCATGCGACATGAACGAATATCAAACAATTAAAAAATGTGTTAAATTTTGTTCATTTACAAATAAATTCTTAAGTTATTATGAAACAAAAAAGTTAAGCATTCAAATTGTTATATAACTTATCTATAGATGTAAGTATACATTTGATATGTTTTTGTTGAAAGTGATCCATATAATCGATGGGGTTTTAGTGATCACTGAACGGCCAATTCTGCCATAACATCGACCAGTTATGGCGAGGCTATGTAAGACTGCGTTTTTCATATAAAATGGTACTAAAAACTGTTAAAATGCTTTGTGGTTGCTGTACAGTCAGGCGTTTTAGATAAAAATCTTACCTAAAAAACACACAAACATTAAAAAAAATCGTATCATAAGTGCATCCCTGTGGTGTGTCATAATAATACATGCAAAAAGTTAGATTTTATGGTATTTTGACAGTTTTTGGTACCATTTTATATGAAAAAAAACGTTATGTAACATAACATTGCCATAGCATTTGACTATTTCACGGCAAAATTCGTCGAAGACTTTTTGTACATTGAAAGTTAGAGAATTTGAACGAATTATGTATCAGGGTCAATGTTAAGATATTGTTTTTAAATAACTGCTAATGATAATCATAAATACTTAACTGCTAATCATTATCATTAGCGTACATGTCCCATCTTTGGAAAAAACATTGAATAAATATTGATTACGTCACCAATATATAAGTTGTGATTGAAAAGGTTTTTATCATAGAATAGTCCTGTCACACTGAGATTTTCTGGAAAGCTTTTTGGAAAATTCTGATTTTTTATTTTGATTTACAAACAGTTGCAATGAAGTTTTTACGCAAGAACAAAACTTCAACGATTTGTACTTTGTTATCTGTCTCACGACAAAGTGAAATAGGTTTCCTTTAATAAAAAAATATTTAATCGATTATAAGGAATAAAAGTCATTTATTTTTTTGACAGATTATATATATTTTAATTTAACATCATTGGACTATAATGGCAATAAAAATATTTCTAATATTTTGAAACATAATATGTGCTTTATAATAACTTATTATATTTGTAACTGTGTTATAAAAAATAATTTAATCAACTATTAGACGTAGTCTGCTACTTGGCATATAATAAGAGCAAATATTTTGACTTTCTTATTAAAAATATTTCTGTTTCATATACATTTCTTATGCACTCGTATATAGATATTTTGTATAAATTAAATGCAAATCAATATAGGAATGTTTCTTAAATAAGTGATTTTATTTTACCCGTAATAATAAAAGTAATTAAGCCATGTGTTCAAAATTAAAACAACATTCGTGTTTCCAATTCTCAATGTTAGTCATTAGGTTGAGATCACATGAGTAAAAATTGATATATCAGGTATATAGTTAATCATGATAGTTGAAACATTTGCTCCAAAGTAATAATCCTAATTAATACATAGCGTTATCATTTTTGTAACATTCATAAAATCTTTTTATTTAAAATGTAAAGAGATATCTCATAAATAGAAAAATAAACAAATTATATTTTATATTATTCTTTGATGAGTAATCTAATTGTTTTGTTATTCAACTAGATTTGTTTAATCTCATTAGATATATTTAGCAGAGCACAATTGTCGTAACTTGCATAACATGCTTTCAGCCCAATACATATTAGAGTGTAGGTAGCTATAGTTTTGCGTTTTGCAGATATATAAATGCTAAAATACTATACTGATACAAAAATATGTAAGGATATGTATCTATTCCATTTTCAAACTGGAAATAACATAACATTTCGTATAGGATTGTGACTAAAAATAAATATTATATTTCGTAAATATTCTTTTATGTGATTTAAAAATATATTTTGAACAAATTCTTTCTTCGGAAGCCAAGCAATTTTATGAGATTATTTTGTATAGTATATTAAGCCGGGAGGAGAATATGCAGTAGAATTAACGGTTATAGAGTTTTCATTACAGTTATATTTACTTTCAATGATTCTAATTCTTTCTAGTTAGGGGAAGGTATAGTTTTAGTTATTCTTGACTTAATTCGTACAAATTTTCAATAATTGCAGCTTTTCCATATGATACAATCAGTACTTTTTTATATCACGCGTATAGTAAAATAATTATACAGATTCACAAAAAAAGTTGTTTGTATTGGGTGGGCGATATATGTTTTTCAATGTAGTTTGTGATGCTGAACATGAGTCTAAAGTGAAACAAAAAAATTTAACAAAATTAACAAAAAAATTAAAAAAAGATTTAAAATATTCAAAATTTCCGAACTTTTAATTGCTCTGTATAATAATTCAAGTCTTATAATTTTTGTCGTTTTCTAAACTTTTTTACATTAAAAAACTATTGAATTTGAATTAAATGTATTCCTTTTTGTATAATTCAATAGTAATTTGCAAACATATTTAATACCTATTGCCTCTGATTAATCTGCAACCGCGTTTGAAATTGAATATTTGAAAATATGTTTTCAAATTACTTCTACAAAAAATCTTATTAGATCATTTAAGTATACCAGCCTGAAGGTACCTAATTTAACACGTTAAGAGCTTTAGGTACCTAAACATTAGTTATTAAGGTGTTAAGGTACTTAGTGAGGTCTTATTTTTGGACTCGGGTGAATACTAATTTAAGGTAAAAAAGACCTGGAAACGACAGAAATTATAAAATTTTAATTATCATGCAAAAGAATTATTAGGTCAAAGATTTTGTCTTTTTTTGTAATTTGACCCATAATTTTAACCCTAGATTCGTATTTAGCTGTAAAAACTGCATTGAGAAACTTATTTCGCACACCCAATGCAGACAACTTTTTTTTGCGGACCTGTGGTATTATTCAAGCAAAAATAAAAATTAATTTGAATATAGAAATTTAGTTATTTGAATGGAAATATTTACAACGCATTCCAAATTATCTGCCAAATTGTGTAATAGATTAATCGTATTTCTGTTATAATTAGTTTGCTTTTTCAACAAAATTTAAAAGCGTTGAAATAAATGAGTTATTTTATCTGGCAAACAATCATTTAATCGTAAATTTGCGGTTGGAGATAAAATTAAAGTAACTATATTGTAAAATAGTTAAAAGCATTAGCTAACACACTGAATTGACACCGTAAGAATTTTTTTGCATTTTTACATTTAGTAGAAACAGACATATCGTTTTAAAACATGCGCATGCTGACGATGACCGACACGGTTTCTAAAGAAAAATTAGAAGCCAAAAATTTAAATGTGAAAAATAAAAAATTTAATAAAATGAGCTCAATCAAAAATTTAAAATATAACTTTAACACAAGCACAAAAATTGATTTAACACATAATATGTATATTGACCGCTGTGTGCGTACAGGTTTAAATCCGCGAATGTTTCTAAATCCTCTCATGTATAAGACTTATCATTTGCATTCGTGTGCTCTTATGATTATTCAAACGGGCATTAAAATTTTTATTTTGTGGTTATAATATAATTAGAATATTAGACATTATCTTCTTTGAAGTACAACATAAATGACAAAATACAATTATCTTAATTTTTGCGCATTTCAAATGAAGCGCGTATATCTGTTCACCTCAAACTACTACTCATATATGTATATATAATTTTTTTTAAATGTGCAGTTCTATTTCCGTTTTCCAATAATATCCGACTGATGAAATCTAAAATACAGCGTTCCTATCATGTTTTATATTCAAACATATGCACTACATTTCATACACCCTCAATTACAAATATAAAACTAGATATAAACGCTGCCGCTAAAAGATTACACCAATTAAATATTATGGTCAATAATATATATATGAGTACTCATAATAGCCATTATAAATTTGTCAAAATTTTAGGATAATATTATTAGAGTTGATAAATAGCCAGTCTTATTGATTATAGTAAAAAATAACTAATTATAGTTTTAAAAGGTTAATTAATTCAATATTCAAAAATAGACATTAAGTAATGTTTTAAAACTCTTCATATAAATATAAAATTATGTTTGTATGCTTTTACTGGAATGTTTAAATAACAAAATAAAATGAAAAAATATTGAACTCTTTACCGCATGTTAGGATGAACATTCACTTGTAGATTTTCTCAATTGCATGTCTACTTTTCCTCTTTCACTTTGTTGGTTGCAACTGAATTTCCTTTGTTGGTTTGATCCTTTTCCTTGTCCTTTTCCTTTTCCTTTTCCTTTTCTTTTTCCTTATCTTTTTTATCTGGAAGGTTGGCCGGGAGCGCTTTCAAAATAGCATGGACCTAAAATAAATATCTTTTATATAACATATTCAGCGGTAAATTAATTTAAATATTTATTGAACTATTTAAAAAAAAGTGGAGTCTTCTTATGTAGGAATGATGCAATTTAATCATCAATAGAAACTTGTCTATTTGAAACAATTATAATTCAGTATCAGCATTAGTTTTGGAAATATCGTGTCATATACAGTTGAAAAAAGTCGCAATCGTGGTTCGTAAAACCCTTAATTTTTAAATTCATCTTATGGATATTTGATGATATTCGTGCAAAGTTATGCTCTAAATAAAAGTCTATACAAAAAACGTAACTCTGCTGACAATTACTATTACGATTTGAAATTTTACATTCTTCTTAGAATATAAAATATTAGTGGCTGCTTGTCTCAATATATACAGAATAGAGTCATTACGATTTAAATTACTGGTAAAATATTATATAATAGTTTTTAATACTTCTTCCATAATTAACCAATTCTTTTGTGAATCCAAAAACCAATATTATTATAAGAAGTGATACTGTTTTCAATACAACCGATAGGTACAATTAAATTGTGAAATTAATTAGTCATCCAATTTCAAGTAGAGGGTACTGTTGTGACAGGGTAGTGACAGTCGTCATAATAGCTAAAATATACTGATTTTGAGATAGGGACCAGAAGGAGAAAGGTGAAGTACGTTTGTTCGAACAAGTTTCCATTGCATTGTGTCAGCACCCTATATTAATATGATCTGTAGACCGCATTGTTTTTAAAGAGTTATTAATAAGTTTTTTGTTTGATTACTTTTAATAATAAAAGTTTTTTATATACTGATACATAATTTTGTTTGTTATTTTGCATTAGTAGTTATTTACCAGCAATTGGTTTTGTTTTATGTGACATGTACTTCTTGTTCTTTTTGGGTGAAAGTTGAACAGAAAAAGAACAATCTAACTTAACTGAAATACAAAAGGAAAAAGAAAAAAAAATCAATACAAAAAAAAGATTTCGCAAAGATTTCTTGTTAACTTTGTTTAAAAAATTATGTTTTATTATATATTGTTTTAAAATATTTATAAAGCTTTGCTTAAATGATTATGTTGTGCTGTATTGCAAATTTCTAGCAATAATAGTCGATATCAATATTGTCATATTATTTTAAATCTATTTTTCCCACAGGGACGGTTGTGACACTCGCTCTTCTCTTGTATGATTTGATTTCAAACAAATGTTCAAATTACTATTTAATTTTGTGTTTTTTCAGCTGACTTGTAAATAAACAAAATTATTGTTGGTCAAAAACAAAGTGGCACAACCTTCCCCAGTCTCCCCTATAGTTTAAAGCAAAACTGGCGGTGTAAAAACATTATGCCTATTGTAGAAAATACATTATTGAAATATTTATGACATAATAAAAATAATGAAAGCAGTTATTCCCAATTAGCCACCTTATACCAGTATAAATAAAATACATTCACAAATAAAATCTGCAAAATACACTACACCACATTAAATCCCAGATCGCAATTACTTTTATCGTGGTTCAAATATTCAATTCGCACTAAAGATTTTGTGTTAGGGTAGGGCGGGGCTAGTTGAGCAAATTTTTACTTAAACGGATGTAGCTCCTCAATGAAAAGTCTCAATAAATTGTTATACGGCTTAATGGCTTTGTTGTTTATCGCCAAAAGTGTTAATACTGTTTTTTGGTAATAAGTAAAATTTAAAAGCTAGAGCTGTTTAAATGCAAAAAGTTAAGTATGCTCAATGCATTGGGTGGGGCAAGTTGAGCACTAAGAAAGTATAATGAAATCATATGTTCAATGTCGATTAGTGATGAAATAAAATAAGTTTTTAATAACCAGTTCTATATTTATTGTCTTTATTGACAGAGAAAACAAAACTTATAGTAATTTGCTTTGAATAATTAACGAAAAGTAGAATCAACAAAACAATATCGTATCTTAGAAATTATTTTACTATTATATATTCAGTATTTTTGTTTAAAATCATTATTTCTTTATATTATTACTCATAGACTTAGCTTGAATCTTAAAAATAATAATTAAGTTCTGGAAGTTAATGGTAATTGTCTTAGTGAGAGAACATGTTTAGCAACTATGTTCAACTAACCCCAACTCGGAATTTCAAAATAAAAGTGAGTTTATAAAAAATCCATGAGAATTAAGCCCAGAATCTCTGTGCATATTAAAAGTACTATAATTATATGGAAGAATAGTATTTACCTGATTAAAAATAAATAACACTTGACTAAACCAGACGAAAACTCGTGATGAATTACTTTTTTACTTTTTTGTTTCAAAATAAACAAAACGGCCGTGAGCCTCACTCATTTGTCCAGCGGCCACTAGCGATCGCGTGATGTTTATTTCACCCAAACCTCTATCTTTCCGCCATATAATGCCTAAACGGACGGTGAATAGTTTTCGAGATATTTCGATTGCTCAACTTGCCCCTATGCTCAACTATCCCCGCTCTACCCAAATTTAAACTGGTTTGAAATTTTTTTTTAATATTGACTTTCGAATACTTCCAAAAGAATGTACATATAAGAATGCAAAGATAATCTTTGTTAAGTATTTACCAACATATATAATATGCCAATTACCAACATATCAATTAAATCAATAAGTTATACCTCTTCAGCGACAGCCGTGAGTACGAATTCAAATTGAGCCCTTGTAGCGACCATTTCGGCCCTCTGATCCCTAATGTGTTCCAGTGTCGCAGCTATGTCGATCTCACGGGCGCCCTTGGCCATCCTTGCTAACACCATGTCGAGCAGCACGTAGGTACCAGATCGACCAGCCCCATCCGAGCAGTGCACCACTATCGGGCAAGAACGACCACGGTATGACTTGTTTACCTGTAAAAATGGTATGATAAATTATACAATATCTAAAACAATCTTGACTCTATTATTTATAACTTGTTTTGATTAATGGTTAACAATATGAATATAGTGGTATGATAGTCAAATGTAACGTCACATACAAAATATCCTTGATATTCGATGAACCTGTTTCATTTGCACTCCCATAAGTTTACGTTCACTCTAGATCAGTGGTTCCCAAAGTGGGAGCCAGCGTGGGATATTGAAGTTTGGATCCCAAGTTTTAAATCCATTAGGAAGATTTAGTTCCGATATTTGGATACTCCGCGCGGGTGGACTCGATATTTTCTTAAGCACAAAGGCATATATATTTCTATAAAATTAAAAGTAAAATTATTCAATTTCGTTGAAATTCCATCAACACCGTGGAGTTTAATGCTCGTGAATTGAAAATTAACGCCCAATTTTTGAAATAGCAATTTTGATTTTGAAGATATTATGTAAATGAACTAACGTGATTCAATACAACGTGATTGGATTTTCGATCCTTTTTCAAGTGAAATTACAGAAGATTTTTTACAGCTACAAGAAGAATTGATGGAGATAATAACAAATGATAAATTGAAATTTAAATTCTAAAATAGCTACCAACATCTCTGGCTGCAAAAAAAGACCCCGACGGCTTACCCACAAATTTACTCTGTCATTAAACAATTTCTGACTGCATTTCCGTCATCACACTTATATCATTAGTGGAACGTGGATTCAGCGCAGTAACTAATTTATTATCAAAAAAAACGATTACTAATAGTCGATCGTGGTATTTTAAGATTACTTTTAACGAAGATAGAATCGAAAATTGCTAAATTGGTAGCAGCACCACAAATTCATTCCTCATATGAAAATTATAATGTGAGGGATGAATGTATCTTTATTCTGAATATAGTTTTATAATTTTATAATTTTAAGAAGATAGAATCGAAAATTGCTAAATTGGTAGCAGCACAGCAAATTCATCCCTCATATGAAAATTATAATGTGAGGGATGAATGTATCTTTATTCTGAATATAGATTTATAATTTCAAATTTTAATGTTATTTTAAAACCTTCTTTTGAAAGAGTAAAAAATTAAGTTTTTTTTAATAAATAAATCATCAAATGTTTTGCTAAACCTTTCCGTCAGCAGTGATGTACCAATTGCAATTGCATTTCATTACAAATATATCTGCAATATATCTGAAGAATTCAATACAATGACTTGCGGGCTTAGAAAATTTGAAATTCACTGATGGTACAATTTTTTCCTGAATGTTTTATGATTTATTAAAATAGTAATCTATCAAAATTGCTTTCTTATTCATAAATGTATCTTCTACAGATACAATAAATTTTATAGACCTTATTAATTTCTATTTGAAAAAAAAATAGGGGGGCGCTGAGTAATATTTTTTCTGGAAAGGGGCCGTAGGTGAAATAAGTTTGGGAATCACTGCTCTAGATATTTTTTCTTTTTTCCAGAAAAAAAGATTTGCGGCAAATTACCCGCTCATAGGTAGATTTATTATTAAAAAAGTTTGTACTACATACCTTTCTTCTGAATTCGAGCAAAGTTTTGGCTGAAGCAGGCACTCCATTCTGGGGCCACGACAAGAAATGAAATTGGGTAACAGTTCTTGTTTCGCCAGTGCGGAAATTTTTCAAATAGAAACTTCGCACCAAGTAGTCTTCACACCAAATGTGTTCGCTCACCAAATGCACCTCATATATATGGTAAATCTAAAAAAAATTATACTAGAAGTACATGGATCGTGCCTTATGGCAATTCGCTGGATCTTTCCGTACCGTGATTAAACATTCGAGATCAATAAAATAATCAATGATCAATAAAAGTTATTCATAATTAATAACAATTGTTTCAAATATTTTCAAATAGATTATTATTAATGCTATACATTTATAAGTAGTTATTAAATTGGGCGGCGAGCGTATTCTACAAAGTTTGAATTTTTTTGAAAATTTTCAACTTGAAGTTTCGAAAATTTGAAATATTTTTTAAAATTTTATAATTTTTTTAAATGAAAATTTCGAAAAATTCTGAATTTTTCGGAATAAATCGTCTTGAAATTTTATGAAGTTTTTCATAATCTTGAAAATTTTAAATTAATTTAAAATTTAACTAGTTGGTATTGGTATTTTGCCTTGAGGCAAGTTACATGAACTTCCCGAAATGTGTAAATAATCGACATAATCAATAAAAAATAAATTAATTTATGAGTGATTAAAAGTATTCCGAGTGGAATTAATTACACATCATTGAAAAGGAACGAACCGTAGGACTTCAGTGGTTTACTATGTTCAAGACCAAGTACACTATCGTTATACCAAGTGAATCGCCTAATTTTATTTTTAACAAACGTAAAAAAAACACTTATTTTCTCAAACTGTGATGAATTTTTAAAATTCAACTACTTGTCGTAAAGCAGTAATTTCTATAAGACCATGATATATATCGCTAAAAAAAGTTCTATAAAAATCGGCCTAAATTTTTTTTCAACAGTTAATTTTCACCTAAAACTAATTAGTATCATTCCCAACTAATATCTTTCGAGAAGTTATCGATTTTTTAAAGTCGATTCGGTAGCATGAGCTTAAATGTGGACAAAAAGTTTAAAACTTTTTTTTCAAATTGCAAAGAAACGGCTCGGCAGATCGTCGCACAAAACTGACAAACAATAGACCTCATCGAGATACATCGAGTGGCTTTTAAGTTTTTAAAATCAGTCCAGCCGTTTTCGAGAAAACGTCGATTTGCGGCAAAAAATCTGTTCACATACACGCGCACGCACATACACACACACATACTTTTTCCAAATTTGGTCTCGTTCGATTCAGAATGGCTTGAAACGTCGAGAAAACATAAAATTAGCAATTCGGATTTTTTTATGAGAACATAAACTTCTCATTCGGGAAGTTAAAAAAAATTAACAAAATTGTACTCATTAAAATCTGTATAAAATAAGTTACAGCGCTACTAGTTTATTGTTAATAAATGCAAGTAGGTAAATCATACTAACAGTTGGCACTCTGTTATTTTTTTTAAATTTAGTTGTTTCACAGACGTACTAGACATTTTTATTTGAGTAACATTTTTTGTTTAAATTTCAGATTATTACAGTAAGTCACAATCATAAAAACAAAAGATCGTGTAAAACTCGATCGCTTCAAAATCATTTCAAAATCAAAATTATTTTATAAAAATTTACAGTTTCAATGTTTGGCCTTTTTCTAAATTAATTTGAAGGAATACTCAACAACGTAAGTAAAATTTACTATTACTAGTAGCTAGTGATCCTTTTGCACAATGTATATTTTAATTTAATTTTTGAACTATTTTTAAATTTTGTTTGGGTATTATTGTTGCGCCGATGACAAATGTCATTTGACACATTTCCACAATTTATAATGAATATATATATCGCTGTTTTAGACATTTCAACTTGATCTATGAATATTTTAATTTTGAAATTTTTAGTAAATTTAGTAAAATTTTTAGTAAAATTATAAAATATAATATAGAAATTAGTTAATTATTATTACACATTATATTCTGTAAAATTTTAATATTATTTTTTCTCATATCTATTTTCCCAACTTAACTGTAGTAGTTTTCATAATTTGGTCAGATTTAAATTATATTTTATAATTTTTTGGATCGTATTTAAATGAAAAAATTTTTAATTTAAGTTACAATACAGACAAGCAAGTGATACTTTCTTATAACAAACTGCGTTAATTAAGTAGTTTCTTTAGAAGTAGCTGAATAGTGCAAAACTTTTCATCCACGTTTTCTTGAAAGATTTTGAACTTATTCTGAACATTCAAAATTAATTCGAAAGTCATTTGGAAAACATGTGGATTAGTTTTTGGCAATAATCGTTTCTAGATGATTAATTGTTAACATTTTTTAACGGTTTTAATGAATATACTACAATTTAAACAATTCAACCTTAGTCCGCAGTATTTTTGTATGGTTTTTATGTTTTTAAGATTATGATCTCTATCGTCAAAAAGTTTTTAAAAATAGTTGATTTTTTTAACAATTATGAAGAAGGCAGGCCCGATCTTAACCAAAACTTAATCAACACGATTTCCGCTCAATATCTTTCGAAAATTTTTTAATTCTTAAATTTGATTCAGGATTATTAGCTTAAACGTGGACGAAACTTTTGCACTTTTCTGATAATAACTAAGAAACGACTTGAACATTGGTTGCAATGCAAAACTAATAAACGCTAGCCTCTCTTGAGCTACATAAAATGGCTTTAAACAAAAAGTAAAAGCTCGGTTCATACACACACATACTTTCTCCAAATTAGGTCTCAAATGATTCAGAATGACCTAAAACTTTGAAAAAAAATAAAATTAGAAAGTTGGATTTATTTGATAAAAACATAAGCTTCTCTTTCTGGAAGTTTAAAAACTAGGTTGTAATATAAATTATAAATAAAGCACAATTTTAACCTTGAGGTAAGCCTAATTAATTCGTAAGTTCTAAATTTTAAAGTTTTAAAAGTTTCGTATTAGGCCTAATTTCGATTACTTATTGCTTCAGGCTGAAGCAATGAAAGCAAAAAAAGCACACAAATGCTTCTCAGCTCCGCTACTAAAACGGGACCCCAAGAAGAAAAAACGGTCGGCTCGAAGCCAAACATTGCCCGCCGTCCTGGTCGCAGACAGCAGCAAAAAGGTAATTGATTGATTTATATGATTAAAGGCATATTGCAAAACTAGTGGGGCGCATGGCATCGTGCCTTAAGGCAAATTGCTGAAACTTCCCGTACCAAAAATTATTATTTTTTTAAAAGATTAACATTTTTGAAGAAAAATTACTCTGAAAAAATTAGATTTTTGAGAAACTATAAATTTTTGACAAAAATTTAAATTTTTTGAAAAAAAAAGAATTTTTGAAGAAAAATTTATTTTGAAATATTTTGGAAATTCAGAACATTTTTTCAAAGCAATCGTACTGCATACTGCCGAACTGCATAGAACTGCGTACTGCATACAGCATACAGCCGAAATATCGAAGCGCGTATTAAGCGCCGCGTCGCCGTCTAACAGATAAACATTGGTACGGAACCCATAGAAATGTAAACAAAATTTATCCTTATTATTAAAATCTCTTTAAAATATCTAATAATTTGATGTACATATGTCTAATGATCTATTTTGACCGCCAAATGGTATTTTTTAACTGTTTTTACTAGATCTCCAAAACCATTAGACCTGCCTTCATAAAAATCAGTTCTTCATCTAGTTAATACAAGTAAAATCTTTTTTGAATTACTCAAATCGGACGCTCTGTTCTCTTAAAAACTGAGTTACCGTTTTTGGCACTTTTTGCCCCATATCTTCGGAACGGCTAGACCTGCCTTTGCCAAAAACTAATCAGCACGTCTCCTTATCAATACAAAATCGAATCGAATCAATACAAATCGAATGTTTTCTGAATTATTCAAATCGCTTCATCCATATTCCCGAAATCGTCGACAAAAATTTGTATCCGAACACACACATATACACGCACACACACATACACGCACACACACATACACACACACATACATCCATTTTTTCCAAGGTATGCCAAAATGTTCAGAGGGTTTTGAAACGTAAAGATATATAAAAATTTTCGATTTTTTTGCGATTACTATAACTTGACCTACGGGAAGTTGAAAATGCCAAATTTTCTTCGACATATCAAAAACAAAATTAAAATAAACTAATATTAAGTATAATACATAGTAATGGTGTTGGCTTAAAATGACATATTACAATTTTTAAAGAAAGGCAATAAAGATTGAATACTAGAAAGATCCATAGCATTTACAGAGCACTTGTGCATTTAATTTTTTTCAAAATCAAACTTTAAAGATGATTTTGAGAAATTAATCTGAATTTAACTACATATTACAAGATTTGACAAGAACAAAAGTAACAATATTTTATCGATTATATTATATTATTTAACATTTGAATTTTTTAGAAATGCAGACTTCTATTAAAAAATATTATTTTTCTAGACCTCTAAACGAGGAATTCATAAGCTATTCCACCTCTCGCCGGCGCTGAGTAAACTGCTGGGCACCGACGAACCACTGGCTACTTATAATATAACGAAACTGATATGGCGGGAAATCAAAGCTAGGGAATTGCAGGATCCAGAGGACCCGCGCTACATAATTTGTGACTCAGAATTCAAGGAGGTGACTGGCATGGTCAGAACCCGCGGGTTCACGATAATGAAAAGAATTAAACATCACTTGCTTCATTAAGTCCAGTGTCATTTTGCTTCATAACGTGATGGTAACATATGTTTTTTATTGTAATTTTTAGACTATTTTTTGCATTGTATAAAATTACATTTAAATAACAAGGTGATCTCGATATCTTTTCTTAATTGCTAAACATTAATGTAACGAATGAATCAGCTGCGTAAAGCTCAGCGAATAAAAATTAAAACACTTGTAAAAGCCGTCTTTCAAGAATTTTCTATATCATAAAGTCATTAAATAGCTATTGAATGTAATTAATTTAAATTTATTACACATTTTTTATATAAAAAAATAAACCAAATAAAATAGAACCTAAATAGATTAAATATACAATTATCTACTGAAAACTTATTTTGCATTCAAATATTGTGTGATATAAATTACAAAGTTGAAGAACTCAAACATTTTTCAGTTATAATCACAATCATCATCAAAATGAAGCAAATGCGCACTGTGACTACAATCGTGAACCGTGGGAGAAGACCATTAAGTTCCGGAGACAACCTGAATTCTACATGCGATGATTGAATATCCTGTTCCTGCTTTCCCCTATCAAGGCCTAGTACGTGCTTAAAGTCTGTCTTAGTGCTCAATAATGCGTAGTTGTTTCACGGCGACATTGAACTATTTTCTGCTCCATTCGCCCCCAATACTTCTGTTCAAATCAACCGATTTTTTATTAATTTTAAATTTTACTAAAATTTTTATGGGTTTTAGAGAACATTTTTTCAACTATTTTTGTAACATTTTTCAACTAGTTCGTAAGTTTTTCCGTTTTTAGAGTCGTTTGTACACTAGAAAAGGATATTTTTTAATTTTACTAGAATTTTTATGATTAGGAAAACATTTTGACTTGTGAAACGTTACTCAATATGTACTTCAATTCATTAACTTCAAAAACTAAAGTCGAGCAAGTTTTTAATAATTTCTACGATATTTCTGAAATAATCGCCGAAAGCTAAATATATTTTTCGTTTTATCTTCAAATTCTAAGATTTACTGAATAATTACCGGTTTCGTATCAATATAAAATTGACACAAACCAATTTTCTGCCAGGTTTAAAGAAACTTTCATATTTTACTTTTGTATACAATTTTGTGTTGTTTGGGATCATAAAATAATTTTGAAATTTAACCTATTATTTATTATTGACGTAAAAATATTACAGTTTTAATTACTTTAAACCGTATCAAATTTCGCGTTTTTCGAATCCAAATCCGTCACCCCATTCTCTCCAAAACTGAATTGCCATTTTTGGCACTTTTTTGCCCCGTATATTCGAAACGGTTGAACCTGCCTTTGCCAAAAACTATACAGCACACGTTTCCCCATCAATAGTAATGGAATGTTCTTTGAACCAATTAAATCCGTGTACTCGTAATCGTCAATGAAGATTGCATCCGCACACACACACAAATACACACGCACACACACATATCCATTTTTTCGAAGGTATGTCAAGATGTTAAAAAAACTTGAACCTTAAAGATATGCAAAAATGTACATATTCGGCTTTTTTAGATTACTATAACTTACCCTACGAAGAATTTAGAAACATTAAAATTATCGTTAGTCCTTTTTTAAAATCTTATTGTTAGTATTATGAGGAAAATGAGACATAAAAGGCTCTTATCATTTTGAAAAGCTGCATAATATTATATATTCTTTAAAAGTAAGTGTAACTAGCTGTTAGTGGAATTCTGTCTTAAGGCAATTAAGGCATCGTGTCATAAGGCAAATTGCTGGAGCTTCCTGTGCCAAAATTTTTTTTTTTTTTAAAAACGATTAACATTTTTGAAAAATTAGATTTTTGAGAAACTATAAATTGGACAAAAAATTACTTTTTTTTGAGAAAAAAATTTAAAAAAAAAAAAATTTTTTTTTGAAAAAATGTTATCTTAATTTTGACATATTTTGGAAGATCTGAACTTTTTTTCAAAGCAATCGTACTGCTTTAACTGCATAGAGACAAAATATAAAGCGCGTAAGCGCCGCGTCGCTGTCTAACGGATAAACATTGGTACGGAACTCATAGGAATGTAAACAAAATTTATACTTATTGTTAAAATCTCTATAAAATATCTGATAATTTGATGTGCATATGTCTAATGATCATTTTTGACCGCCAAATGGCATTTTTTTTACTTTTTTCGAAGGATCTCCGAAACCGCTAGACCTGCCCTCATGAAAATTTTATCAATTCTTTATCTTGTCAATACAAGTGAAATGTTTTTTGAAATATTAAAATCGGACGCTCCGTTCTCTTAAAAACTGAGTTACCGTTTTCGACACTTTTTGCCCCGTATCTTCGGAACGGCTAGACTTGCCTTTGCCAAAAACTAATCAGCACGTCTTCTTATCAATACGAATCGAATGTTGATCCGTGTTCCGGAAATTGTCGACGAAAATTTGTATCCGCACACACATACATACACGCACACATACACACACACATACATCATTTTTTCTAAGGTATGCCAAAATATTCAGAAACCTTTGAAACGTCGAGATTACTATAACTTGCCCTACGGGAAGTTAATAAAATGTTCAATACTCTTCTATGAATCTCACGAAATTTTTGTAGGAGTTTTTTATTTGAAATACGTATAAATATAAATAAATGTGGTCATTAACAAGTTATAAAATAATGTAGTATTAAGTTAAAAACGGATGAATTAATTTCACAGTTTCAGCAAAATATTTTCTCTGTGTTATCAATATTAATTCTCGATATGTTTAATGTAGAAGCTAAAATATGGTGTTTTTGATATGTTGATATTTTGTAGATTTCCAATCGACATTGATGACAAAATTTTTGCACATACATATAATATAAACATAATTTGAAATTGAGTTGTATAGAATAAAATACATATAAATATTTGCTTACTTCAGATTCTTCCCCTGGCCAATACTGGTAACACATTTCGACTCCATCCTCTGCCAACGGACACAGCATCACCATTACTACAGCTCCCTGCTCCCACACCATCTGCCAAAAGTGAGCAGCTGTTTCCTTCAGCGGACCCTGAGCAACAACGTACAAAGGAGCCCGCGGGTCATGGTCGGAAATGGTCGAAGCGTTAATGTAATCAAGGCCGGCTGCATTACTCAAATGGTTGAGAACAACTCGTGAATGGTCATAGGGCAGGGGGGCGCCTTGACGATTCAGTGGCAGGCTGGTCTCGGCAGAGGCAGCGAAACGTACACCAGGTTCTGCCTCGTACCGACACAGCGCACCCCATTCCCGGTCCAGGCGATCCTTATTACGCAAGTGATCTTCCATATAGGATAACACCTTAAAAATACGATTAACTTATTTAATACAAAGATAGTGGATAATAATTAATAATTATTAATTATTAATTATATACCACTAATAATACGGAATACATTTCTACAATGCATGAGCTCTACAACGAAACAGTCATAGAAAGTTTGTTAACTTAAAAAATCTACATATAATGCCTATATGTCCTGCAAATGACGCATTGGCGTGCGGTCGTAACTTAGTTTTTCATAAAATCGCGATATGAGTTCAGTCTATTTGTCATTCAGTCCAATATTTTTATTGTATTCAGTCAATTACATATTTTCGTCAGTTATGTGTAAAGTGTACCAGATATAATGAAACAAAATAAATACATCAAAAATCTTAATCTGTTTATCTGATCATCTACCACCATACAGCAACTCTACATTTGTTAGCAACAGAAAGAAACTACATGTTGTTTGGCATCATCAGTTGGACCTTATACATATTTTGGGATATTATTGGTGGTCTCTCTCTCTCTCTCACCCACACACACGCACACACACCTATGTATATATATATATATATATATATATATATATATATATATTGATGAGTTATTTAGAATCGGGCAGTAACACCAAGTAAAAAAATTAAAGTAGTTTTGAAATACTTTACTTATCCAAACGTTAATAAAATAAGTCTATAACTTTATATTATTTTCCTCCTACATCATATAAAATCTTTTAGTTTTTCCACTGAATGACGGTCTCGATGAAGACCGAAACGTATGGATGAATAAAGTATCACAAAACTACTTTAGTTTTTTTACTTGGAAAACTGATAGGTATACCTTCAGACAGGTTTTTGCATATTTTGAGTGAAACTAAGTAATAGGAAAGTTAGCCACCCAAAATATAACTTCTATAAAAGCTTACATATTGGTTGGGGTAAAAAAGATCAACTAAATCTTTATACTGGCCAAGGTAAAAAAATAACATGATAAATAAAAAAGTATATTGAGTTAAAAAGAAATTTAAAGACACGAATTAAATTAATAGTTATTCAAACTATGCTGATAAATATTTAGGCATAATACTTATAAAATCGTGGCCATAAAATATGTATTTAAAATTGGTTACATAACATATTTCAGAAATTATCTTATTATTATCAATGAAACATTAGATGTGTCTGCCCTTTATGAGGCGAAAAAATTTTTTAGACAAATAGCAAATTAACATATTTTTTTATTCAGGCAATGACTGAAAAATTTTCTGAACATATTTCGATAGTTGGTTATTTGATATGTATTATGTGCTGTAATGTATCGTTCTTGGTTTTTACAAATACATATACTGAAAGTCAGAAAAATACTGATATGAGCTTTTATTGAATATTCTCTTTTATTTTATCGAATTTCTCTATATGCTGAATAAGATATTTCTCTCTGGTGCATAAAACATAGATCAATAAACAATCACGAAAGATACGAGCGCCATTTTCCATCTTTATAACTAGATGTAACAAAATCGCATTTTTGTTTGAATTTTTATTTATAGGTATAACACAGCAACGTGTGATCGAGTACTTAGTTTCTCATAAAATATAATGAAAACAGCACTACACAAAAATTGCATGAAATATGTTGTACAAAAACATAAAAAATAGGTTTTTAAGTTTTTAAATTTTATTTTTCCATTACCTTTATCAATGCCTATTGCAATTTTTACCATTGTAATGACTAAAAAAAAAAAATAGGTCTGTATTAAAAAATTGTAGTACAAATGGTGTAGGAAGTCCATTTGTAACACAAACGGTATTCACAAATTAAATCGAAAATAATAAAATAATATACGTTTACAATACGTTTACAAATATATTACGATTACGATTCAAACAAATATAATATGAAATCGTAAACGCTATATGCTATATATTTTATTAGCTATAGTGCTACACGTGCAAGAATAAGGACAATTGTAATGATTTTAATTTTACCATTTATCATGTAAACTTACACAGCATTTTTGTTTTTCGAACTGATCAAAAATTGTGTCTGATACATATATAAATATAAATAAAGATATAAATTTTGATCGTGTACTAGGAGATTCTAAATACGTGGGTTAGGAGCTATGTTGTTTCTTTTGAACATTACAAGGTTAATATTAACATATGTTTCTTATGTGCAAAACTATGTCTCACCATGTGGCCAGTAGATATGTCCATGTTAGTCATGGCTGGTTCTTCACTCCACGAAGAAGTACTAGATCTCGATGATGGACTGTTCTGATCAGATTCTTTGGATAAAGACGCAATTCTTGTTGATACACTTAAAGGTTGAGGTTGAGGTATTATGGATTCTACAATACCAGGATTTTTTGTTGCCATGTGAGCTCTGCATAAATCCTTAAAAAATGAATGAAAACAGTTAAAATAATACAAGTAGTGTAAAGTAACAATAAATAGAACGTATAGCAACATTATATGTATGTTATGTATATATGTTGCCAATGGTTTACCTGATAGTCTTTGCTGCTACCACATTCTGGACCTTCTAGTGAACCCAGTTTATTTTTTTCTCTGGAATGTTTCCTTATGAGAATCATTGCTCCAATAGCAACTAATATTGCGCCTCCTATGCCTCCCAAAAGAAAACCAGCCAAATGGCCATTGAGTGCGTTGGTGTCAGCCAGTATTGTTTTTTCAGGTTTTAATGATAATTTAGCCTAAAAATATAAAGTTTGTTTAAAAATTTGTTAAATAGTCATGAAGTGATACATGAAGATACACAATGATTAAAAATAAAGTGAAACGAATAAGATAAATTTAAATTAATTGTATCGAACTAACTTTATCGCCGACTCCAGATCCGGTTATTATGATTCCATATTGATTTTTTAAAGTATTTATCATATTAGCACTCATAATTTTCTCCGCAATCGCACTCGCATTCATCCCGGCCTTTTCTTCTTCTACTAGGAATGACACCTCATGACTATCGACCCTGCAGTAATAAAAATGAAATCAGTTATAAATTTACAATGTCATACTGAGACATAAAGTTTTTATACACACCGTGGATGTGATAAACTCCCTTGCGGTAATTCCAAGAGTTCAGTCAACATTTGCACAAGCCTTGCTCCTACACGCCACGCTTTTATGCTGGAAAATGTAAAATGTAATGAAACATTTTTTGTCAAATATAGTTCTTGAAAAATATTAAAATCAACTGCAATTATGATAAACTCATAATATGAATATTATATTTAGTTATAGCGTATTCCATTTTCTTGATGTCTGTTATGAATAAAGTCATACCAATTGATCACAAATCATTAATAAAAATCATACCATGAATTAAGTTTATCACAGTTTGAAAAAGGAGAGTTTATGATGATATTAGACTTTTTTTATCAAAATCTTAAATATTTAAAATAGCACCACGTTTTAATTTGTAATTAAAATATATTTGCAACTTTATATGGTAGAGCGGGGTACAAAGGCACAATTTGACTTCGAGCAATTATATTGTAAAAACTACAAGAATCACAACAGACATCTATCTGACTATGTTTAGTAAATAACCCAGGTATCATCATTGTATAAATGCGCTGTTTTTGCCGAATAGGCGAGGTAAATTGGGACGGCCAAAAGACAAACAGGTCCTATGTAATTTCGTAAACTTTAAAGTGATTTTACAAAAGAGTAGCTACATTATTCTACTAATGCAAAATATAAATTTTATGTGTGAATTTATACAGAGACAACCTTGTAAATAACCTTGATCTGGTATTTTGTCAAAAATATTCATTAGCAGAGTTAGAATACCTATTTAATCTTTTATTGAAACATGTAATTTTACTTTTTTAGAGGTTATATAAAAAAACTGTTGAATCAGTTAACGATACATCTTATAAAACTATTAAATTACGTATACTTATAAATAACGTAAACTAAGATCGTAATATATTGGGAACTCGTAAACTAAGCAACAGTGCTCTCAACGAAACAAATAACAATGAAAAAAAAAACTTTTTTATGGAATTTCAAACATTGTCGTTTTTCTTCCGATAGGATCGTCGTAAGAATCAAGGTAATGGCTGGTTATATACTTTTTTCGATCTACTTTGAAATATTATTTCATTACTTTAAGATTGTATAAAGTGTCTATGTATAAATTTTAACAAAGATGTATTCTATTTAATTTATAATTGTTAATTCTAATTAATTTATAATTGTTAGCAGGAAACAATCTATAGTACAAAATTCTGAACTAAATCTAATTTCAATAATAACTCAATGCATCCAGTTAAAAGGTCCCATCAATCAAAAGCAATAGAAAAGAACTACGAAAATGTATTTGAATAGCTATAGTTCAGTAAATTATTTCAGTCTCGATTTTGTTAGTTGAAGAATAATTCTATAAAACTTTCGAGTTTATTTTATGTTAGTGTGAATATTGATGTTATTCAATTTTACCTATCTTTCACTGTGACGTAGGCATAAGATGTATCGACAGAATGAGGTGCATGGTATTTGGTAACTTCTTTCTTCTGCACAGGGACCGCAGTCTCCATGGCCACCAGGGACATAGTTTTATAAGAGTCGCTGGGTTTCTCACCATGTTCCATAGGTTCCGGTAATGGGCCTGGTTTCTTAACATCGAGACGTTCTCGACGCTTAAAGCCGGATAATGCATTTCTTCCCAATATTCCCAATATATCGGACTTCTCGGAATCTATAATATGAAATAAAACGTGTTGCCATCATAAGATATTATACATATACATTATATTATACATTATATTATATTTACCTGAATTTCCGTCCTTTCTGTCAGGAACGTACACCAAGCCACCTTCGGTGTACACACCAGCGGTCTTTTGCTGTGAACCCTTATCATATTCATCGTTAATGAAAAATTCTTGATTTTCATCCATGTCACTAAGTTGTTCTTCACTAGCCGAACTACGATCATCGTTCATGTAAGGTTGCATATCTAATGATTTTCGATCTTTCATCTCAATACCCATGCGGAAACTCTCAGGTGTGTTATACTAAAATAAATCGATGTAAGTATGGCGACAAATATTTTAATATAAGATATGATATTTTCATAAATACCTGCATATTTTGCTTGAATAAATTTTCATAGTTTTTACTGTATTTTCTTTCCATTGCAGGTAGTTTGTGTTTAACATATTTAGAAAGTTCCGGAGGAAATGCGTTAGGATCATCCAACCCAAAACTATTCTCGCCATTTGGCAGATATCGAGAAAATCCAAATAAGGTATTCTCAGATGTAAGAAGATCAAATGCATTCCTAAATAATTATATTTTTTTACACATATGTAGAGATATGTATAAATATTGTAAATATCAAAGCAATTATTTTTATGATATATAACATTTTGTTTACTCATAAGTAAATTCATTCATTTATTAAAATGAATTTGAAACAAATTTTATTTGAGAGCAGCTTTAAATAAATTGCATCTGAGTACATTGAAACTTTTGAGTAAATATAGTATTGAAAGTATATAGTAAAATAAATTAGCTAAAATATTAATGTTTCCAAAACAAAAGAGCTCAATAAGAGATATTTTTTTATTAGCACTATTTATTATCATTTAATTATGATTATTAATTGCTTTTATAACAAAAAGCTAAGTGTCTCTATAAAACACATTCAAATCTGAAACGAGTAGGGAAGACTGGGTACGGTTGTGCCAGGGTACGGTAGTAAGAGTTGTCATTACAGATAAAATATACTGATTTTGAAATAGGGTCCAAAGGGAGAAAGATATAGTATGATTATTCAAACAAGTTTTCATTATTGCTTTCAGTCGGTGACTTTCATCAACGTTAACGTGAAGTATCGTTAGATATCAATAACAATTATTTACAAATATTTGAACAAAAGTAAATACAAGTACTATCACATATCAATCAACATAACTCTATAATTACATACTTTGAATTCAGGTAGTATATAAAGTGGCATATATCAAAAGAGCGTACCGAGAGTTTGTTATCATGAAATGCTTTAAAGTGTTAAGATATTACTATTTCACTCATTCAATTGATATTATAAAGTTAAATACTAATTGATAATAGATAAGTATTGGGTATGCACATCTCTTAATTAGCCCGGTCAATTTAAACCTAAAAGCAGGGTGAAGTTTACAATCATTCATAACCGGCTGTACAAAATCTCTCAGAAGTCCTCATCGTTCCAGTGCGAGCTAAACAATTTGCACATGGTTTAAGGTAAAAAACGAATTTTACGCAATTTTCAGCTAAATGGTCAGTTTTATCAGAAAATTACCAGATACAAAATTGTAGAGCATAAAATTATCTACAAAAAATGTTTCAATACTTTTTTTCCTCAGAGCCACCGTTTTATGAATATATATCAATTTAAAAAGTACGTTTAAACTCCACCTACGACCTACGAGATAGTGTGCATAGCGCGTTTTTTTACGTGGTTTTCTCAGTAGCCCTATTTTACGGGTCTGTTGTGATTTTGTTTATTTCGGAACTATATTGTATTGATACATCTTTTGTAAATAATTTTCTGCTCTACAATTTTGTCTTAGGTAATTTTGCGATAAAACTGACCATTTAACTGAAATTGACAAAAAATTCATTTTTTGACCTTTGTTCTTGTGTCAATTTTTTAGGTTGCACCGAAACGATAGGGACTTTTGAGATTTCTTTTATAATTGTATTTTAAGCAAATTTACCAAGTTACATCCTATTATGATTTATTGTAACCTTGAATGCGTAAATTGAGTGGACCATAATGTATTTATAAGTTTATTATCAATTATCTGAAAGATTTATACGTTTATTATTACACTTGGGAACAAACAAAAAGTTCATATCGTGATTTTGTAAATTTTATAACGATACCTAATGTTTTTCTTGTCACGATCTCCTTCTTCGCTTTTGCCAGATGGGAAATAAACTTCATCTGCATACTCTCCGCTGGGGACACCATTGCTAGGTGTGAAGCTTACGTAAGCCAGTTGCTCCTGATCAGAATCATGGTCTCCTGAACTCGTTGGGTAGCCTGTATCCTCCTATATAACAAAATATAATAAGCATTAATAATAAAGAGAAAGATAAAAGACAAATACATTATAATGTGTCATTCCTCACCAATCATTATCTATATTTTTCAAATTACTGTTTTCTGATCATATATAATAAAAATTCTTTATCCTTTTTATTTGTTATTAATATTAATATGCATAAAATTAGATCCTTTGGTATAAAGATTATTAAACAAAATGATCCAATTTTATTAATTAATCATTTCTTGCCAAATAAAATTCAAAACTAGTGGTTTATGGCATCGCGCCTTAAAGCAAATTGCAAGAACTTCTTGTACCGTAATTTAAAATTTTAGAAAAATTATATATATTTTTTTGAAAGTTTAAAATTTTTTTGAACATTTTTGAGACATTCGAAAACATTTTGAAAGAAATGAAGATTGAAAAAAAATTTTTTTAAGAATACTGATATTTGTTGAAAACAGAAATTCTTTAATTACTTGTAATTTTTTTGAAAACTAAAATTTTGATATTTTTAAAAGTTTTCGATACGCATTCCTATCGGTTGATTTAAATTATAAAATATCTGATTTTCGACCGCCAAGTGGCATTTTTTTAAACTTTTTATTCTGCAACTCCAAAACCGCTGGACTTCATTATAGTATACACTAAAAATGACCGCAAAGTGGTTTCGAGAATTCTAAATATTTTGTACATAAGATTGCCTAAACTTATCGGTGAAATTAAAGAATTATTAATAGAAAAAGAGAACGATAAAATTTCTTACAATTTACTCAAAACTTTCAAATCGCAGTTTTGGCTATTATGACTTATTCTAAATATTGTCTTGAAAATCACCTAAACCGACGCAAGGTTGTCAAAAAAGGTATTTTTTTAGGTTTTCAAATATATTACTTTAAATGCTATTATAATATTAAAAACTATTATAATTCGTATTTTATAGACGAAATAAATTAGGCGACGAAAGGAATCGTATACTTAATGTGAACGAATGAATGCATCATAGAGGCGAGTGAGCGAGTTTTTAAGAATTTCAAAATGACCCTCCCCTCCTCCACCAAACATCACCAACTACTTGTCGTATTTTTAGTTACGTGATAAAACTGTAAAATTTTTGTTTTTTTTTTAAATGTTTGATTTTTTTTAAAAAATCTGTTAAAAAATAGATACACGTGATATTTTACTATACCCCTCCCTCCACCACGTAATATTTCATGATTTTTTGTCAAACCTCACGTGATTAATGGACGTCCCCATAGATGTAGGGCTCTCATATTTCCAAGCACTGATACGACATATCGTAAATATGTGTTTGAGAATTTCATTCAAAATTGTGCCAAGCATTTTGGAAGATTTTTGAGAATTTGGAAAAAAATTAATATTGAAGGTTTTGAAAAATAAAGGCTTTTTTGAAAATTTTAAGTTTTTATGAAAAGTTTGAAACTGAATTTTTAAAAAATCTCAAAAATTAAAAAAAAGTAAGTTTTTGAGAAATTTTTTTTTTCAAAACTTTGTCATTTTGTTTATATTGGTAGGAAACTCTAAGTAATAGTTCACTTTGCTCAACAAAATACAAATATTAAAATGGCTTATTTGATGTAAATAAGAAAGCTTACATAATTTTAAATATGTAGGTACGTTTAGAATTTTTTTGTCTGTTTTTCTGAAACCGTTAGACCTGCATTTCTCAAAAATTTAATCAGTTCTTAATTTTGTCAATACAAGTAAAGTTTGAATGATTAAAATCGGACACTCCGTTTTCTCAAAAACTGAATTATTATTTTTTGCACTTTTTGCCCCTTATCTTCGTAACGCTTGCGCTTGCCTTTTCAAACACGTCGATCAGCACGTTTTCTTATCAATAGGAATCAAATGTTTTTTGAATCATTCAACCGTGCGCCCGAAATCGTTAACGAAAAATTGTATCCAAACATACACACACATATATTAATTTTTTCTAAGGTATTAACTTTCCGTAGTTAACTTACTCTACGGAAAGTTAAAAATATAATAATGTTTTTCATATCGTAAGCTATCTTAATATGAGTTTTACTGATTGTGAGTTTTTTTACCTGTTCGACACGTAATTGGCGGCAGGCGCGCGGTGTTGTCGGTGAGCCGCGTCTTAGCTGCCATAAGACCGCTTGTAGATGGCACTGGGTATAGCCGTCTGCCCATCCATATCCTCGACGTTGAAGTGTAGCAATTCGTTTAAATAACTCAGCTATTTCCACTTCAGTCAAAGGAGAACTGTAAGAAAATTATTTAATATAATCCTATACTTCATGTAAAAAATACATGTTTTAAACTCCAACATTAGTTTCTATTTATTCCAGATAAGGTTATATCAAAACTCATTTTACTCCAAAATTACAGAGGTATATGATGGTATAACATTAAAATGCCGCAGGTCGTTTTATCAATACTATTATGTTACTATATAAACTTTATAATATTGCTATAGTCTGTCCTCTAATTCTTAACCAACTATCCTTCCTAGGTTATCTTTACGAACACATATTTTTTTAATTATTATATTCCTAAATCTAATTTGCTATTAAATTTGCCTATTATACTTATGTCCCCTAACATTAACACAATTAACAAAAATATAGATATTCATAACATTACACAAAATCAAATAATCTTCATCTGCTCTAGTTAAACCTTAATATTTCTTCTGTAATGTTTTTTTCTTATTCTACGTTATTTCATGAAATTGTTACATTACGTATTATATGTTATATTTAAAATTTTTGCAAAAGATAACTTTGCGTTTAATTAATCCCAATTTTTTTTACATCTTAATTAAGATTCAACAATAAATAATAGTTATTTCAAAAAATAAAAAATTAAAGTTTTTAAAAGTAAAACTTCTATTAACAAATTACCTGTAAAGCTGATCTTCATCAATTGGTCCAAATTTAGGTAAGCAACGCCCGAATGCTAAATCTATAAAACAATAAAATTAATCAATAGCTTTGGTTTTGTATGTAGTTTAATGTAATAAATCATTGAAATAAATTTCCACCTATTGCAAGTATAATTATGAAATGAAAATGAAACTCACCATCGTAACACCATTCTAGTTCTTCCATGCAAAGTCCATTTGCAAAGAAGCATCCTAAAATATAAATTGATTGAAAATAGAACATAAGTATGACAAAGGAAAATTAATGTTCAAAATTTTAACTAGTTCAAATCAGTATTTATTTTTAAAATTCAATTAATATTGCAAATATAATAAGTTAACAATTTTATGTTTTTCGAATTCGTCGATAGATTTAAAATTTCTAATAAAATTGGTAAACATTTTTTTAGAATAAATATTTCTATCATGAATAATGTGGGACATATCACATAAACTTTTGAATAAGCAAGTTTCAATTGCTAATACTATTGCACTAATATTATTGATGAAATTGTGTAATTTACCTATATTTCCTTCAGACTTCACCAGGGTCACAGTCAACAATAAAAAAGCCCAAAAGGGAGCCGCGTACATAGCGGTACACCTGAAAAAACATGTTATGATATTTTTAATATGTTGTATAATAATATTGTATATAACTAACTATAACATTATGTAAGCATCAATAAGTAACATTTGATTATAAAAACCCAACTATTTTATGCAGATCAAGACAATTATTTTGTAACCCTATAACTTAATAAATGAAATATTCATAACTATTTTTATATTCTTAAATAAGATATATTCAGTTATCCAATCCAATAGGAAAGATGCAATCATCCAATAGACTTATATAAACGATGTATTGTAATTATCAATTCAAATAAATAAAACAAATTCTATCATGGCTCTAGGCCATAATGATGAAGTGATAATATTTACGTTTTTGAATTAATAGTCTTGAAAGTGAATCATGTATTTGTAGCGGTTTATTACAATATTAATCATAGAGAAAGGTCATGTAAAACTGAACCTTTTGAATCTTATTTTTTTGTCTTGATTAATCAAATAACAAAAATCGTTAAGAAAATATATAAAATATGTTGAGGTCAAAATAGCAGAATATTTCATTCTTGAAAGAAAATGATGTAATAGTTTATATATATATATATATATATATATATATATATATATATACATATATGAGTGAGTTCTTGAGGGCGATACATCAAACAAAGAAAAGCCAAAGATTTATAAAATAATCTTTATTTCCAAACGTTTCGACATTCAATTTAATGTCATCATCAGTGGATCTGTTTTAGATCCACTGATGATGACATTAAATTGAATGTCGAAACGTTTGGAAATAAAGATTATTTTATAAATCTTTGGCTTTTCTTTGTTTGATGTATCGCCCTCAAGAACTCACTCATATATTTCAACATCAAAATTAACTACTAAATCATATATATATATATGTATATATATATATATATATATATATATATATATATTGAATTATTGAAACTAAAAGGTAACTGCAACAGACAGCCCGACAAAAGAATTATAATAAAAGTTCTGTTCAAACTTTCTGGATATGTAACTTTCAAATAATGTCAATATAATATATTCCAGAACTAGACAAATAACATATGTACATATAAAAAATGCATATAGCAACAAACATATGAAAAATATGTCAAAAAGTTATAAAGTAAATAAAAAAGACATATATTGTGCAATCGTATATAAAAAGTCTTTAATATATATGAATATTATGTTTAGTGTAAGTAAAAATAAAAAAAATAATTTTTGAAAAAATATTTAATAAAATATCTATATTTTGGTATTATGATATACCATTTTATGTCAGAAATTTGAGCGTGTTATTATATTTTTCCTGCTATTGTTGAATAATAAGAATCTACTAATTCGAGTTTGACATATAATAATTTTCTATAAATTTTTGGTTGAATATAATAACTTATTCATAACATTATACGCTTATAAAAACATATATATATATATATATATATATATATATACATACATGAACCACATAAATATGTGTATACATAAATGCATATATATGTAATTATATACAAAAATTTAATATAACACTATACTCATATACACCAATAAACAATCATAAAGATAAATAAATAAATAAAAACAATCTGATTAAGAATAATATTTAAATTTCTACCTTATATCTTGTCAGTATCACAATTGCAATGTGGATCGCAAATGGAGAAACAACAGGTATTCACCAAGTTTTCAAGTTGGCACTAATGTCCACAAGTAAATTGCGTAAATTTTCATGTGGAAAACAATCCATGAGTTAATCTGCTATATTACAAACAATAATATTTGATTAATGTATAATTTGTACTGTTTTTGTTAGTTATTTCGACGAGCAAAGTATTGGCGCGGCAGCTGCCTCGATTATCTATATAAACTGCGTGGGCCGTTCGTTGTGGAAAATCGATTTTGTATGAAGCCTTGCTATGCTATCATATATACTTACATATAATATATGAATGAAAAGCTTCACTGGGGCACGTACGCAAAAATAGACGATGTTTATTTTGAAACATCAAGAGCTTTCGATAAACAACAAAATGTTTAACATGATATAAGCTAAATGGGAAAAGTTTGATTAGAACGCTTTTCATTTAAATCAAGATTATAAGTGATGACGTAGATATACCCGCACATATTATTGTGTGGGAGTTCAAAATCGATGGAAACCGAGCCCTGTAAATAAATATAACCACAAGCTTTATTAAAAAATAAAATAGATACGTATTTTCAATTTTTCTATGTAAATATTTAAAAACACGACATTTGAGATCAGACAGGAAGAATTTTAATAAATTACACATAAATTCGAACCAGTTTTCATTGCATTGTCGATTCATGCTGTTTTATTATACATATTAATATCGTTAACCTTAAACAATACACATTAGTATTAGATTACTGCATAAATCATTCATTATACTATTGTAAGCAATTATCCATTCAGGACTTCGTATTTCTTTTTTAATTTTGTTGCAGTCCACGTGCAATTTGAAGGTTAAATATGCTAAATATTTTAGTAGGTATAGTGGACAGATAGGAATTCTTAATAAGGCAAAATATGTGAGGGTATCATGAGTATGATAATAGGTTCTTCATATTTACTATATGTTAATCTCTTCCTCAATTTTTTGCTTATTAAATTTTCTGAAGTTCTTTTTTACCCTCTATAAGATGAGAAATATAAACTTGAACTTTGAACTCATAATGTGAATATTGTTCAAATATAGATTTAAGGTTGAAACTTTATAAATAATAATACAGTATTTTCAAATTCCCGATAAAAATGGAATCGATTTTATTTTGTATCAGAGCTAATGCTAGCAAGTTTAGCATTAATAAGTTAATTTATTTAAATAATTTTTTTAATTTGTTAGTGCCATTCTAACACACTCATAATATAACTCATTAAAAACAGAACGAAAATTTTAAATTTTTGGAATTAATAGTTTATATTTTCGCCAAAAATTCTGATTTACTAATTTTATACTTTCTCGACGTTACAAGTTATACTCAAATGTTTGAAAATAAAATTGAACTAGTGGCGCGCATGGCATCGTGCCTTAGAGCAAATTGCTGGAACTTCCCGTATCAATTATTATTATTATTTCAAAAACGAATAACATTTCTGAAAAAGATTTACTTCGAAAAAATTAGATTTTTGGTTAGATGGTTGTTAATTCACTATTCGTCGGCGCTTTCTCTAAAATATAAAAGCAATATGCGGATTTAGAAGCAGCTGCGATGATCAGCCGGCGATTTTGTTCATTCAACAGCTTTTCGAAAGATATCAGTTAGGAATCGTGTTGATATCATTAGTTCATAATAGTTTTTGATAAATTAATTGTTACAATTTTATGAAGATTTTAGAACAGCGTTTCGCACAGTCGCAATGAAAAGACCCAGCGTTATATTTTAAAATATTTCTGTCATTTTGAATAAAAAAATGTGTTAAAAAAATTGCGCTTCTAATAAACTAGAAATTACAATAAAAGACTGAAATTTTCAATACTTATAGTGATAAATTTTGAAGCCAAGGCAAACACATGTCCTTCTGAACGACACCCGTACAGACAGCACGTTATGCGGATGTTGTCCATGGACGACTTCCGTTGCGAATGGGTTAATGAAATTTGAACAGAGATAAGGTTCATGATTTTAACGAATATTTTTAAATATAGTTCTACGGCAAGTGTTTTAGTTATAAAAATTCATTAAAGTTTGTAACAATTGACCAAGTTTTTAGGACATGCCCCGTGTGTGAATTTACCCCGAGGCATGCCCAAATATTGCTGTCATTGCTCGTTAATTATATTATAACATTCAAACTATTTGCAAATATAACAAGCACGTATTTATAGTTACAATTTCAACCTTTTCCACTTGCGAATTACACCATTAATTTAAGGTATTTTGCCGCCAGAGCGGCGGCATTCGAGTGGAAAGGGTTAAAAATAGCTATATCTAAATTTTTATTGTTTAAGCAGATTATAGATGAGCAAATCAATCAGCCCGATTATTTACACATTTAGTAAAGTTTGAGCAATTTACATTAAAGTAAATTACATCTAGTTAATGTATAATTCGAATCTTGTATTGACAAGAAATATCGTTAAATTAATTAAACATTAACGATTGATATTGTTGCTTTCCGATGCAAGCCTAAAATAATATTTGATATTTTTGATTCCGGCTTTCTCATAAGAATACTAAATAAATAAATAGGCTATTCCGGTAAAGATGAAGAACGCGCAATATCGTGTATACACACACACACACACAGATATATATATATATATATATATATATATATATATATATTATTACAATTTTTATATTACATTTATTTAAATTTTACCTCATATATTTGATATAAAATTATATATGTGGACGACGATATAAAATTATATTATATGTCGAAGCGAATGGAAGAATAAAGATTCTCTAAAATATTTTCTTTTTTATTTGATGTTATGTCTTCCAAAATTTTATACATATATTTTAACATCAAAATTAACTATCTTAAACATATTTTTTTAAACTTAATACGTATAAACATGTACCTACAAACTATATTTGCAGTAACAACGCAGCACCCGCAAGTGTCCATTTTGCCGGTTTATCTTTTGTTTTAAGATTAAAAGTCCACACATATGTTGGACCTCTCATTCGCGTTTTGTAAACGGGGCACTCATACATATTTCTAAGATCTTGTCTATCCTGAGTTATAGCCTGATAATTTATAAAAAACAATGATTTGAAATCTTAATGTTGCATAGTTAAACATAGACATATGTAAGTACATAGGCGGATATTTAAATATAACAGCAATAAAACAAATGTTTCTCACCCGAACGTAAATTACAGGCATAGATGGAAACAATTCTTTCAGTTTAGATTCCATAATTATTCCAGCTTGAACATCCCATCGTGCACCCTCCATCAATAAACCGTGCACATAGGCACCATCTTTAGGAGAAGTTCTACGAATTTAGAAAAAATGAAACAATCAACTGTAAAGCTTTAGTAAATATGTAATCAGATGCGCCTACTTCTAAATGTATACTGGTATCACAATATTTTACGAGTTACTCAATCAAATTGTATCTATTATATATTGCTTACGTAAAATCTTCTTTTTGCTTCTTAGTAACATCGCACTGCAGGCACATTTTATCAAGGGGTTGCTCATTTTTACGTGCCGTACTTTGCATAATAGCGGTTAGAAGTGATTGTGGATTAAAAAATCCGGCAAGCCATACAGAAGCAGGAAGCTGCAAACATATGACAATATAAGAAATAGTTTTCAAATCATTGAGATTTTTCATAAATTCATAAACAAACCACAAAATCGGTAGACCAGGTTTCCAATTCTCTTAATCTCAGTAGTAAGTCTACAAACCAAGCCGTCAACCCCAGAAGTGATGGATAAGCTCTAGAAGACCAGATTTGTGGAACTTGATCTAAAAATAAAGCGTTTTCCAAACATTCCATATCGGACGTAATTGTCAGTTCGCCCTTTAAGAAAAGAAAACTATTTGGTATAATGCACATTTTTAAATTTATTATCTAAATAATTATGTAAAGTTAGTAGTCATACTTTTAATCCTAAATCGAGTTCTTTTAAAGATCTCTTTATTTCTCCCGTGAGATAATTCATTCTCTCGCATTCTTGAAATGCAACAATAACGTACGGTGTTCTTTCTTCGACTTTGCCCATGATTTCTAACATATTGAATTCTTCTGGTAATTTTTCTATAATTTCGTCAACAATCTGCTTAACCTGTGACAAAAGTATCTCTTTAATAGATGATTTTTTATGCTTTAATATATCACATATCAGTAAACCAAATGTTTTAATCATTATACAAATGATATATTTATGAAATTATTTCTGGATTTATTAGCAATATAAACTAGATATTTAATTTTGTCTGGTATGTTAATGTATATATATATATATATATATATATATATATATATATATAAATATTTGAATAGTCTTGAATTTGATGTTGATATATATGTTTAATTTGAGTTTAATATTTGGGCGTAACATCAATAAAAATAGTATGAGAGTTTTTTTTTTAAAGTTTATTTATTTAAAATCCATACGTAAATACGTATGGATTTTAAATAAATAAACTTTTAAAAAAAAACTCTCATACTATTTTTATTGATGTTACGCCCGAATATTAAACTCAAATTAAACATATATATATATATATATATATATATGTAATTTTTGTTGTTGATTAAATAAATAAATATAAACCCACTACTCTTATTTCGCTCTAACTTTATAAAATACAAACCTTTGAGATAAAAGTTTGCTTGTATAGGTTTTGTAACATATATTACTAAGCAGAGTATCAATTTATTTATTTATGGTTTAATAATAAGTTTCAATTAGTTTCAGTAATATTAATATAAGATAAATCATAATTTCGAAAGGTTAGTTACTTTTAACATTTATTCGCAGATTATTTAAGTTAGTGCAAAAAGAGTGGAGTGCGTTACGAACATTGTTAATATTTGTTTCACTCAAATTACAAAAATACTACTAAAATACGTATATAGTAGGGGAGACTGGATACGGTTGTACCAGGATACGGGTCGTCATAACAAATACTGAACTATACTGGTTTTTGCATAGGGTCCAAAGGGAGAAAGATGAAGTATGATTGTCCAAACAAGTTCCCATTATTGTTTTCAGTCGGAGCCCTACATCTATATGATCTGTAAACCGTCTTGCTTTTAAAGAAAAGTAAGTTTACAACAGTAAGTTATGTTCGAATTTTTTTAATAATACGTGTTAATTGTATGCAAACAGATCACTTTGTTTGTTATTTCGCTGTAAGTTGAACATTAGTAGTTAAATACCAGCAATTAGTTTTTGCTTAGATAGTTTAGCTCAGTCATAACAATTATTTGTTTTCCAAAGTCAGCGTTGAGATGAGAGTGCGGATGTGACATGTGGTTGTGAGTTTTATCCTTTTCGGATGAAAATTAAATAGATAAAGAAAAATTCAACTTAACTAAGACAAAACACGAAAAAAATGGAAAGAAAAGATCAACACAAGAAAAAATGTTTCACAAAAATTACTTGATAACTTTCTTAAGAAAATATGTTATGTTCATTATATATTGTTTTTTATGATTATGTTGAATTATATTACATATTTCTGACAATAAAAGTCATTATAAACCGTTTTGGCGTTCATAACTATTGTTTTTTTATCCTATTTTCATGGCTGTCACGCCCGTCCTTGGGGTGTGCATGGATGTGACACTTGCTCTTTTTTTGTTTGATTTGATTTTATGTATAATACATCGTATTTAGGGACTGCTTTTCAGTATTTCCGTGTAGACCATTACCATTACCGTTCAAATTACCATTTAATTTACTTCTAACTTAAGAAAATTATGGCTGATCGAAGAAAGCTGGCACAACTGTACCCAGTCTTTCCCTACACATAACATTCCAAAATTATCGTATAACTTCAACTCATTCTCAAAAATTCCAATATATTAATTTATTTATAATTCTCACACTTTTTCGGAATATACCATTACCGCTCAAATTACCATTTAATATGCTTCTAACCTAAAAAAAATATGGCTGATCAAAAAAAGTGGCACGACTGTATCCAGTCTCTCCCACACACAACATTTCAAAATTTTCGAAATAATTCACCCCCATTCTCAAAAATTTCCATATCCTAATTTATTTGTTATTCTCAAACTTTTTCTGAATTTTAATTTAGATTCTTTCAATAATTTCACCGAATTAATTTGCAGTAATTTGCCTTAAAACTCAATGACTACAATGACATACACTAGTTATTCTTTTGGAGACCAACCTTCTCTTCTCTGGTAACAGTTGCACCTCCAGAGCACCCTGCATTGCGCGGTTGCATTTCGAATACAGTTCGGAAGAGATTTTCGCTGGTTGTCGTAAGGAAACCAATCTCAGCATTTGGATGCAATCCGTACAAATACGGCGACTCGGCGGGCATTGCTTCATCGATATAGGCGTGGTAGCCGGCATAGTCGGTGTTAGGGGGTGCCATAAATCCAGGAGCTAGGAATAATTCGCCATCCACCTGGTAATTTAGTAAAACACCACTTAATAAATTAAGCAAGTTGTTATATTAATTAAGAAATTGAAAGCTGAAGAACAAGACACGGAAGCATGGATGCAGAAGTTTGAGAAGTAAAAAGCAATTCTCATAAGAGTAGTCAACTTAAACGTAGGCGTTAGAAAAAAACTATTTAATAACGTACTTGTACTCTAATTTTTTAAACGATTTTTATTGTGAAAAAATATATATTCATAAAATAATTCTATGAATATACAAAATACTAATAAGAAAAGTACAAACAGAATTCATTTAATTGGAAGTATAAACTATTATTATTTTTTTTAAAAATGAATATAATTATAAAAGGAATTTAATGCTTTGGACGGCTGTTCTATATCTAAGACTTCAAGTAGTCAAAATAATATGACAAATTTAAAATTTGCTCGACATTTTGAAAATTGGTTGTGAACAATTACAGTCACTCAAAAATAAGTGGATAAATTTGGATGCTTTGTACTATCATAGTGTATTGATGGATCTTTTTTGAAGCCAAATTGAAACACGATTCCAAAAAATGTTAATCGAAAATCACTATAAAATTATTGATTTTTTTGCTCAACTAATTCGAACATCGTGATATGAATTTCCTAATTGTCAGTTTCTTTTGAATTAGAACTGATAATAAAAAAATAAAGCCAAAACTATATCAAACGTCTCTAAATAAATGCTCTATGATTTTTATAAGTATTGACATGCGTTTAGTATCCTAATTTTTTTTTTTTAAATACGAACTTAGCGAATTAATTAACGCTCTATTTATTCTCAAATTAAAATAGTTAAGGTAAAGGCATCACAAAATTAAAAAAGCGGTGATATACGTGGCCAAATTAAAATAGAAATTACTCTATAAATAATACAAAAAAGTAATGAAATAGTTAAATAAAAAAAATATATGCTCTTGTATTTACATACTGTTTTTGATATAAATTATTTATAAATATCATATTCCGCACATAAAAAGAATAATCATGAAAATAACAACAATAACAGAATTAAAAAGAATAAAAAAAAACAAATTAATGTTTGACTTTTCTTTTCCAGATCATGCCATTCGTATTATATGTTATATGTGATACTAATGTTTTCCTAAAAAATAATCCAAATTACCAAATCGGGCTGCATCAGTTCTTCAAGATATGAAATACATAACTTTCTGTCCCAATCATCAGTGATATGTCCACCATACATAATTTCTCCGAACAAATATCGTAAATCTTCCCACGGCACTTTTGAATTTGCTTCCAAATAATTATATAAGACGTGCACACTTATATTAAGATCGCCTAATAAAATTTAATGCAGCTTATGAATAAAATTTGTATATATGATTTATTATGAGTAATTTATTAGAGAAAAAACACATCGACTAATATAATAATGTAATTATTAATATATTTAGTATTAGTAGTTTTATATAAACCATTTATTAAAAACAAATAATACTTACCAACATTGAATGGATATATTTTATTCCACCCTTGCGGACCAAACTTTCTTCTTTCCGCCACAACTGCATGGAAGTAGCAAAGTGCAAATACTATGACTTTAAATTCGGCTTCTTTTCCGCACATTTCAAGAGTTTCTTGATTAAAATTATCAAGTGCTTTATGCAGATTTGCTTGCATGCCCGTTGGCGGTTCGTTTGTGATTTTTATAGAAGACTCTAAAATTCCCTAAAATTATAGAAGACTCTAAAATTGAAAGTAGAAAATTATAATTACTCAAAATCAATTAGTACCGTGTTTTAAGACATGGCGTTTCAGAGCAAATTTCTTGTACTTTTTAAAAAATATTTTTTTAAGTAAATAACATGAGTAGATATTAGATTTTGAATCTTATAAATTAGATAAAGTAAAATTTTTAGGATAAAGATTAAAAAAAATTGAATAATTTGGAATTGTTTAGAAATTACAAACGACTCGTCATACGTGTTTCTCGAGATATGAGCCGTTTTAATGATAATTTAGTCATTTTTTATTTAGAAATTTGCTCTGTTTTTGCAGAATATGTATTTGATCTTAGCAATTAAAGTTTCATTTATTTTTATTATTAATGAAAAAAACTATGCTGGAAAGAATTAATGGCATTTCCATCTATTTATATGGAAAAAATTGCTTCGAGATACGAACAGTTCGACATGCGAGCGTGCTTACGGACGGAATTAAGCTCGTAAGGAGAACTACCACTGTACTTTGATTTTTTATATTGATTAAAACATTTAAATAGTTCTACTTAATTCTGGTGTATCTAAAAACAATTGACGTTATTTGAATGTTTTTCCTAAGGTTTAAAATCAAACTTGTGTACAAATGATTGACGGGGAAGCAAATCTAATTGAATAGAGCTTTTAGAGTTAAAACATTGTTTTACCATATGAATAATTGAATAAAGTGTTGTCTTTTTAAATTCATTAAATAAGAACCTGTGGAATGATGTGCGCCGCCGCCGTAGCTGCTGGTTCAGCACTCATAAATACGCGATAGTTCTCATGTGAACCATTAGCATAATACTCAATTTTCTTCTCCAACGAAGGAAGCCACTTTTTTACTAAATGAATATTCTGCAAAAAAATCAACGATATAAAAATAACATATAATAGGCAACAAAATATTTTCTAATGATTACCGTTAATACTTTAGTACCTGCAAAATCACCCAGTCTCCTCTCTGAGCCGCTATGTCCATTGCGGCTTCTGCAACCACTTCTTGTCCCTGACCAAGAGACACATTGTGAAAATTGCCAGCATCGGCAGTAAATCCAAGAACTTTTCCAAGAGCTTCAACATCCTACACAAATAGAATTCAGTGATATATGATTATTAAATATATCACTGATATATGGAATAACCAGTGATATATGATAGAATAATACAATTAAAGCAAATGTGAAATAGTTTCATATATCCACAAATATTAATATATATTCTTATGAGCGAGGAGTATCCATTTTTATAAATAGGATTTGTTTCCATAAATGCAAAGTGCTAAGGTGTTCGTTAGTAGATTAAATTTATTCAACAAACCCTTGCAATTTTTCCTTTGAATTGTTAGTTGAAATTTATTAGGGTAGACTAGGTACGGTTGTGCCATGTTATGATAGAGACAGTTGTCATAACTGATATTGATATAGGGTCTAAAAGTAGAAGGATGAAGTATGTTTGTTCGAATAAGTTTCCATTACTGTATTGAGTCAGCACCCTATATTAACATAATCCGTAGACCGAATTGCTTTTAAAGAGCCGAAAGTAATTTCTTTTATTTGATTTCTTTTAATATAAAGTAAAAGGGAAAAGTTCCGTAACGCCGGCGGCACCTAGTGCCGGACACTCTATTTAACACGTATTATTTAAGCCAGTATAGTTATTTTTGTTTCAAAATGCAAGTGAAAAGAGCGCGGGGGGCACACAAAATTTATGCACTATAATATGTGCTCCTAAATGCTTATATCCAAACCTTTAATGGATTAACTCCAGGAGACAAAATAAAGAATATAGGAGTAGATGGGCTGGTTTCTTCGAAAGATTTCGAAAATTCCATTGTACGATTTTCAACGTATTTTGTACCAAGTTTCTCCTCAATAAATGATCTGAAATTAAAATTATGTACATAATTAAAATTTCAAACCTAATATATGACCAAAAATATGAATACTTACGCAATCGCATAAGTCATTCGATCAGGTCTTAGAGCTCTCATCATGCAAAGTCTTTGCAAGGAGGTCTTACTTTTCCATTCTTGTGGAAACTTTTCTCGTTCAGGGCATTCACACTCTACTAATTTTCTCCATCTCTTTGATGAAGTTTCAATATCTCGGTCAAGATTCCTAAGCAACATAGACAAACATATAAACACTCACATATTCAGTTTCGGAAAGTTTTAGGATATTTTATAAACATTGCCACATTTTTCAGAACGCACGATCTTAATATAAAATTTCTATTGTAGTATTTAGTTGAAGTTTAATATTTTGAGAACACTCGACAAATGATTCAGTTTCATTTCAAGTATAATAAAAGTTAATTATTAGACCAAGTTACTAAAAACACTGTATCGGATGTTTCTACGATGCAACATGATGCCATAAAATAAAAACCCAATAAATTTAAATGAATTAGAATTTAGAATAACAAATACATTGCAAGCCAAACAAACATGTAAACTTACACGTAAACATTATTACTTTTATGGGATATAATAAAATTAGGTAATCAAGGTCTGCTTTTAGTCAAAAGAATCAATTTTCATAAAAGATTTTATTTATTACCTAAATTCATCGCGAGCTGATAAACTGCATATACCTCCCCAACTATTATTTGACAAGAAATCCACAGGACTTGTTACATGTGGCTTTATAGGAAAACGTAGAAGAAAATCTAAATCATTTGAAGATATTTCTTCACTCATAAGAAGAACCTGCGTATATAAATCACACTGAAGTTATGAAATAAAAAAAAAGAAGTTACTTACCTGAAATGCCATTTGTGAACTAAATATCAGTTTATCACATTCAAATAAACCCCTGGTTGTATATTGAAACACTGAGTAAGATATGCTATCTATTAAATTCAGAACTCTTTTTGCGACATCATCTGAAGGCTCTGCTTTCGAAATAGCTTTTTGGAAAACGACACTAAATGCCTAAAATCAAGAGAGTTAACATACAATATCTATATGGTTTTATGTGCTAGGGCATGAGCAAATACTTATTTAGATGAAAATATTTATATGAATGCTTTAGGTATCCAACCCTAAAATGCTAAAACAACTAACAATTTTATCAATGTTTTTAATGTATATACTTTCAAAGAAAATTGATAAATTGCATTAATTGTGTTGAGATCATTCAGTATGAAATACAATAAACTGGCGCGGGCAGCAGCTGGTCTATAATATTCTCTAGCCTGGTCTATTTGCGTCGATGTAACTTTAGATTCCGCCACCTGAAATTGATATGTAATATTTATCAAATCTAAAAACAAGTAAAATGTATAATCATCAATTGCACCTTTTGCTCTATTTCTGCCGCGGTTTTCTTTGTAGTTTCCAAATTTTCCACTAACGCAGTATCACCTAATATATTTTCACCTGCTGAAGATAATCTGGAGAGCAAATCATCTTCGAGCGTTTTAAGCATAATTTTGAAATCATTTTGTTGTTTTGTTAAATCAGCCTAGATAAAGGATTGGGTATAGTCAATATAAATGTATAGATTTTTATCAATAAAAATTGTAATATATGCAATACCCTTAATATAAATTATATATAATTTACTATTTGATAATTGGCATTGAAAAGTTAATCGATACTAATTAATAGTAGTAGAATTAGAAGGGAATATCGATAGCTTAAAAGTAACATTGCTGCAAATAAATTATACTATTTGCAGATAATTCAAGTTGACATGACAATTATAAAACAAGTATTTCTGAAAACAAATGAATATATTTGCGTGCTGTGCAAAAACAAGCAATTTAGACAGTTTAGGTTTGTCACGCGACCAACGTAATGCAGTAAAAAGGTTTTGGTCGATGAATTTTGAAAAGCACCCACAGGAACATTTTCATCAAATATTTATGATGTATTTGAGTAAATATCCGGATTACCATGAGAAGTTTCAATTTGATGATACTATTGGAAGCGTTGCATATGTTAAAAATATAAGCGAGTACAGTTCGATAATACTAAACTCTTTGAGCTCATTAGTTCGTATGTCGACCGAAAATATTGATGGTTTTACAAGGAGCATCGAAGACATTGCCGAGAGTCACATGGAACGAGAGGTCATATATACTTAATTTTCTATTCAACTATTTGATTAGTCCCATTTCTTTATTAATTCGTGTTTGTTCTTTAAATAGCCCTATTCAAATAAAAAAACGTTTTTTGATGGGAGTATTTATTCGCGGCATTTCGGAACTAGTAACAGTATAGTAAGAAAATGTGATTGAGAAAAAAATTTATGAATTGATTTGTCACTCTGATAAAAAGTAGAAATTGTTATTTATTTTTATTTTATTTTATTGTTAAAGAATATAAGAATTAAGAAGCAAAAATTATTCACATGTACTAAAAGTAAGTTCATAAAATTGTGGTGTGTTTCCAGATTTGACAGTAATAATTTTTACTTGTTAATTATAACATTATTTAAATGAAAAAATACCCATTTCCATCGGACTTTTAATTGCGAAACGTCGCAAATAAGCATATTGTTTTGCTTTTATTTGAATTTACCGTTAAAAAAACAAACATACACACGCATATATATATATATATATATATATATATATATATATATATGAAATGTATTCTGAGTGGATAAATAGATATTAATTTGAAAATATGAACAAACAACACTTTTTTTTGCACTAATTTATTAAATAATAATTTTCACAAACGTTTCGAGACTAGGTTTGTCTCATCATCAGTATGTTATAATTTAAAATTTAAAATATGGAAACCTAAATTAACATTGTCATGTCTTTTTAGTACTCGTATATCGAACGACTTGTAACGGATAACACATAATGCTAATTTAGGTTTCCATATATTCATTTGTAATTTTCCATTATTTTGTCTCGTTGAATTTATTTATTTATTGAATTATGTCTTTCTTTGTTTTTTGTTCTTTTATTCATAATTTGCTAAAATAATGATTTAATATAATGAGTAATGATATTATTACATCATTTTTAAATTTGTTGTTTATTTTATACATAAACTACATATGTAATTTTTTATTATTTTGTTTTGTTGTTTTTATTAACTTCCCGTGGAGTAATTAACTTCCCGTAGGGTAAGTTATAGTAATCGCAAAAACAAAGTTATATATCTTTACGTTTCAAAGGTTTCTGAATATTTAGGCATACCTTAGAAAAAATGAATGCATGTGTGTTTATATATGTGTATGTGTGTGTGTGTGTGCGGATACAATATTTCGTCGACGATTTCGGGAACACCGATCAACCGGTTTTAATAATTCAGAAAACATTTTACTTGTATTGACAAGATAAAGAACTATTCTAAGTTTTGCGAAGGCAGGTCCAGCGGTTATGGACTCTTAATAAAATAAGTTAAAAAAGTGTCATTTGGCGGTCTAAAATGTTTATTGGACATATGTACATCAAATTATCAAATATTTTATAGAGATTTTAATAATGTGCACACATTTTGTGTAATTTTTTTTGGGTTTGTACCATGATTTTTAATTACAATACGAGAAGTTCTAGCAATTTGCCTTAAGGCACGATGCCATGCACCCCACTAGTTTATTTATTAAATTATGTCTAAATAAATAGCTGGAGAACTAATACAATAATTTAAAAATAAATTATGTAATTAATAGAATAAACTAACAATTTGTTATTAATTATTTATTAATTAATAATTTGTTGTAATTATATCCAGGTTGGTTCTTTAGCAGTCAAACGTCTAACCGACACAGTAATAGACTACGCGGTTCTTCAATTGGGCGTTCAACGTGATTCAAGAGTCGTCGAAGGTTTGAAGATAATCTTTCAACATGTATATTCTACATTTCCAAATATTATAAATGCTAAATTAAATAGATTAAATAATGAAAAACAATAAAGACTATAAATGTTATTACATCGAAATTCTTTATCATAATCTATAGTATTAGGAATACGATAAGAACGATATTATAATTGATTGACGATGAGCTATGGAAATAAATTTAAGCTTTGCATAAGGTTGAATAAAGTTTTTATCAAAATTCAGTGAAACATATTTATAGCCTGAAAGCGAAAATAGGAATTTATGGTAGGAAGGTAAAAACTTGGGATTGTATGTGTTCTTTAATTATAAATTACAAACAAAAATAATCTTAAGGTTGACAAACCCTGATTACTTAGATGGCGTCCATTAATCACGTGAAGATTTTGGGGTGAGGTGGGTTTGACAAAAATCACGAAATATCACGTGGGGGAGAGTGGGGTATATTAAGATATCACGTGTATTTATTATTTACCTGATTTTTTTTAAAAAAAAATCCAAACATTTTCCAAAAAAAAAATTACAATTTTTTCTCGTAATTAAAAATACACGCAATTCTTGGTGATCGAGGGGTTTAATTTTGAATATCACCACCACGTATCAGCAAGGGTAAGGATGAGTCCAAAAATCCTTGAATAATTGATAGACCCTCCTTAAGGGTTTCTCTCCAATTGAGAAATAACCAATTTTCAAAAATAATGTCGATCAAAATATCAATGGCCATTTCAGCCCTAAACATTAAAAAAATACTACAAATTAGTTTAAATAATTTAAAATTTATACCTTAAGTTCCTCCAGGTCAGGTCTTTCAGCTTTAACAACTTCTGCCAATAGCTGATCTTCTAAACCGTCTCTGGTCACAGTAAAATTAATCAAAGTTGTTTGTGCTTGCATTTCGGGTTTATAATGAGGATTTGCTAATTTTGTATGTAATATTAATCGAAAACTATTATTATATTCAATTTCTTTGTCACATATTTTAATAGCCCTAAAAATAAACAAGTTAAAAGTTACATTGATTGAGATTGAGTGTAACAATAAGTAATATGATATATAATATTTATACTTACTTTCCCTTTTTTATTAAACTTCGACCTAGTAATGGATCTAATACAGGATCTAGCGTTTCTTCTATATTTTCTACTAACACGGTATAGCCTTTGATTATTGATTTTTCTATTGTATCTAAAAATCCTTTTTGTCCGAGTCTGATTACTTGCAAATCTTTACCGTACTTTTGTTTTATCCATTTAATACCTTGCAACTAGTAAATAGACATATAAATAAACATCTTCAGAGCAATATATCACAGAAAACATTATAGAAAAATGAATAAAATCTTTATTAAACTGCTTAACGTTTCAATATATTATTTTATATAATGCTCAGTGGACCAAAAATAAAATGGAGAGAAACAGAATATTTTTAACATCACTTTTTTAATTCTAATTATTTTTAAGAGCTGTACTTCTTACTCAAGTTATTCTAGTCCTGTTAGGTATTTCTGTCTCTTTTATTTATAGTCCACTGAAAAGTTAGCGAAAAAATAATCAAACTTTTTTATGTAAGAAAAAAATTGAAATACCAGAATGTCCGATAGTCTGGCTCCGTTTCACAAAATTCAGCTTTTTTTCAAAAGTATGCTTTATAGCAAATAAAATAGTAATTTGGGAGAGAAAAGAAATTATTTAATAAACGAGTTTAATATTGACGCAAACTATTTATAAAATTAAAAAAACATAAAAGATGAACTAATACAATTTGCTACTGTGTCGGTACCATTGTCTTCTAGACAAAGATTAGAATATCCAAAACTGGAAAAGCTAGATAGCATATGGTTGAAACTTCAAATAATTAAGTGCAGTACGATCGGAAGAAAAGTACAATAATTGATGAACGGGTAAAACATTTCGGCCAAAATTGAGGAGATGCGGGAATTATATAAATTATTCTGATGGTTGGCTCAGAAACTTGAAGTGTCGACATGCATTTCAAAGACACGATGCAGCTGGAAATATAATTTCAGCAATTCAAAGCTCAGGAAATACAAGAACGCACAGAAAAATACAAAGAGAAATTTTTGGCCAATAATAATTTAACTCCATATTAGGTAAGAAGAGAAAAAATCAGCCAAAACAAAGACAGATTAACCGTTTTGCCACTAATGACTGTAATGAATGTGTTAATGACTGCCGCCACCATTAAAAACTGTTTTTCGCCTTTTAGTACTGTTTTTGTAGTTTGTATTATTAACCTAATTGTTTTTATAAAAACCGTCTGATAGTCCGGAATTTTTGATAGGCCGTTTCCAATCATACCAGACTAATCGACTTCTACTGTAACTATAATAAATCATTCATATTACCTGTGGATCAATCATAAGTGGCCATCTATCCGAATTGGATAATATAGTCGCATTTTCCATAGACATACGATCGCTGGGCAAACCCTCGTTACACCAGACGGCAATTGTTGTATCATCCGTTAGCAAAGTGAGAGGATCCAAGTCTTCTGTTATAGGAATTGGCGGCTGTAAATAACGATTGATGGTTAATGGTAAAGTATTACATATTCTTATATTTGTAATGCCACTTACTTCTAAAGTCCGTAAAAATGGCAGCCACAATTTATTGAGCAAGTCCTGTCTGTACTGTTTGGTAAAACATCCAACGTACGATATGAATGCAGTGATTAGTAGCACATCCCCTGGCAGTGTTGTATCTTGCCGCATAAAACTAATAATTAATATTAAAATTGTGTATTTAGGACGACAAATAGACCTAACAAAGAAATAGATGAAAAACGAAAATGTAGCTAATAATAATCTTGTTGTTAGGACAAACCCAAAAAGCAATAAAAACTAAACATCAGTGCCTTATGGATATGATCCGTAATAATTTCTTTCTTTTAGCAAACAATTTTTACTAACTCAGTAAAAGTTTTAAAATTAGCAAAAAAAAATAAAATATAATTTGAAAAGGTTTTTATTATTGAAGTAAAACTTCTTTAGGCGCGACTAGGCGTACAAATGCAACGTAAGTCCGTTACGCCAGAACTGTTCGTCATTCACTTTCGATGAGATCATTTCTATAAGGTTCGATTGTGATTAGTCGTCGTGTATGTGAATAGAGATCTGTCTTTGTATGCGCACCGGCATCAACGTTGTATGCGTACCGATATCAACAAGGAAATCGGCATAAATAAATAAATTAATAAATAATAAAATTATTTCTATATTATTGGTAGTTTCTATAAATCTTTGAAGTTATTAAAATAAAAAATATTTTTTAGGCAAGACAGATATTACAGCTGTTCAAAGAATGAGATTATATCGCCAGCAAAAACGTAAAAAAAAACACCATCAGTCAATGAACGTACGTATGTAATGTAATTTTAATTACATCAAGTTCTTCAAACACAGACACAAGTTGCGAAAGCAATATTTGTTTAGGCGTTGTTTAACATAATCCACCGTGTGGACGAATATTATTATAGAATTTATTAATCAGCAATTACTTCATTTCTCAAATGAAGGTTCATTTGTAAATGCTAATTACAATGACAAACCGATCATATCATATTTGAAGTATGACTTTAATTACATCATTGTTTTTAAATATTATACATATTTTTAATGCTATTATAAATATATAATTTATAATTTATCATTATATAAATGTGTATAATGGTTGACACTAATAAATGTGTGCATCACGTGTGTTACCATATTACTAATAAACATTATTCAAAATTGTTATTTAATGTATTTATTTTTACTTAAATGCCATCTTGTACTGTAGCAAATAAATTTTACTTCAATCGCGTGTGAACCTTTCGCGCTATTTTATAATATTCAAGATTTAAAATATATTAAAAAATTTGCTAAGTATCGAAAAAGAAAAAATAAAAAAAATAATAGAAAAACAATTTCCAGTTCTAAGTAGTAAATATAAAAAAAAACGACAACATACAATATTTCAATAAGCACAACACTATTATCATAGTTATTACTATCACAAATTAACCTACTCTGCTACTGCTTCTGCCCATCGAACATTCTCACTTGCAAGACCTCCTACCAATCTATTAGCTAATAGAATGGTTTGATTTGTAGCATCGGCTTCTTGTTGACACCTGAGTTTTTCCGAAGTTGCCTGCTCAAAGTCTGCAGTCAATTTTGCCAACTTCTCTTCCAGAGACTATAATAACGGAAACCCATATATTGTACCATTTGAGAATAATTAATGCTATGTAGAGTTCCAACTTTAAAAGTGATCCTATGAAATAACTGAGACTCTTTTAAAAATTGTTATTCCTTCGATTGCAAACTATGGAGTAATGAAGGAACCAGATATATTTTTGACTATATATGGTCGCTTTTAGTTATTTTATTGATTTACTTGCAATGAGTTGAAACATGTTAAATTTATAGACGTGTTTGAATAATAGTATAAAACAATGATATTCTTGTGCAAAATTTTAATGTGGGATTGAGTATATATTGAGTAATGCAGTCTCAACTAAATTTATTTCACTCCTGGTGTGTTCAAAATAAACTGGAATTGAATATATCTAAATGCAAAATTATTAGTTTTACAAACAAGCGCGTTTCGACGCATTTTAATTATAAAATTTCTGACACCTGCATAGAAAGGTGTGTTAAAATATCTGACTTAGGCATTGTATTTGATTCTAGTTTGACTTTTACAGATCACATATCTAACATATGTAGCAAGGCGCAAGAATCACTAGGAATAATATTAAGAAACTGCAAAAAATTTGAATCTAATTTGTCACTAATTAGCATATACTATGCAATTGTACGTTCAAAGCTGGAGTATGGATCGATCATTTGGCATCCTAACCATAGCAATAATTCAGATGCGATAGAAAAGGTTCAAAGAAAATTTCTAAAATATCTATACTTTAAAAAACACAAAATTTATCCTGAACGTGGTTTCGACCACAATATTTTACTTAATACATTCTGCGTATCATCTCTTGCAACACGTCGTTTCACTGATAGTATTTTGTTCCTGTATAAATTATGTAATAATGCCATAGATTGTCCTCAAATTCTAGACCAACTATCCTTTAACGTTCCTAGACTTTCATCCCGAACTCAAATGTTTTTCAAATATCCTACTCCTAAGACTGACTAATGCCTTATTAAACTCACCTATAGTGCTAATGTCCTCTAATTTCAACTCAATTAATAAAGATATCGATATTCACAATACTTCAGTAAAACAATTAATTACCATCTGTACAAGTTAATCTTAATATTTTGCCACGAATATGTTATTTCCATCATATATAATTTAGTTTTACCGTTAAGAATTTTTTTAAGAGTTTTTTTTATTTTGTGTTATGTATTTTTATGTTATGAATTATATTATGTTATGTTATTAATATTAATATCATATATTAGTATATTTGTATTATTATAATATGTATATTAAAATTGTATTTTTAAGTCCTCCTGGAGCCACTCTGTGGGCTATACGATAAATAAATAAATAAATGAATAAATAAATAATAAGTAATAGGCTTTGACCCAAACGATTATATTGCATAAAATACTTCAATCTAGATAAAGTATTAAGATCTAGATAATTTACAAATAATCGTCCCTTTTTATGTATATCCACATTTACTTACAGCAACTTTTTGCTTGATAATAAACAGTTTTTCTTGAGCCGCGGCAAGTTCTGCATTTGCTTGCAAAAGTGCTTTTCTCTTCGGTTCAACGTCGCAATAAACTTCATAAAATTTGATGATATTTATAACCCAGGCACACAAACCAGCTGCCGCCGCTGATTTTGATCGCACAAATTCTGGTTCAAATTCGGGATCTTTAAGATATGGTTGAATCGCCTTGATAATTTCTGGATGGATATTTTCCTTATCATAAGAGATTAGTGCTTCCAGAAATGCGTCGACTTTAGCCATGACGATCTGGAATTCAAAATCAAGAGATACTATATTATATAAACTGTTGTTAAATATGTAATATGTTTCACTACTAAGAATATATACGTAGAGATATCAACAGAAAAAATTTCAATGAATGTGAACATTTGAAAGTGTCCCCTACTTTGTTTAATTTATTAAAATTTGATAATTATAATTTTTAGTTTAGTTATATTAAAAGTTAGTAGCAAATATTACCTTGGCCGCTTTCCAACTACGATCTTTTGGAACTTTAGCAGCAGGCGACAGTAATACCATAACGGCAGCTGTAACATTGGTTACCGCTCCAGGTGGAGATCCGAAGGACTTCAATTCGGTAAGATTGCCCTTGTTTAAAGTATTAAGAGCTTCTTGAGCTGCTATTAGAGCTGGTTCAGCCTTCAAGAGATCTTCCTCGCAATCCTTTTGTTTTTTCGATACTTCTTCTGCTATTATGCCTACTTTGCTCTCTTCCTCATCAGCTAATAAAAATCAGTAACCACGTGTAATAAAATTATTAAAAAAATCAAGGTAAGTATGTAAGATAAAAGTTCATCGTATAATTGAATCTGAATGTAACAAAATGACTAATTTAAAAATAACTTTTATTAACACTATGGCTCGGTTTGGAATTAATAAGAACTAAATTGATTCGGATTCTAGTATTTCATACACCGTTTCTATGAATGCATTCGTATAATAATATCTTTCACACAAAACTAACTTTATCATTTCGTTACCTATTCCTTTTTCATTCTGCACTATCTCAGTTTCAACTCCAATAATTTCAATTAATCGATCAGCTGCATCATTTTTTATTTGTAACTCAATTTCTTGCTCAGCCAGTTTTGTTTTTAATTCTTCGACTTGCGCAGCAGTAGTTTTAAGTTTTTCCAACCCATTTTCAAGTCTAGTAGTAATATAAATTAGTGATAAAAATGAAATAATGTGAATATAAATGTAAATATAAACTATGTAAAATATAAACTACATATGTTTTTAAATAAATCTATTTGTTAATATATAATTAAAACGTAGAAAAAAAAAAGATACTCGGATGCAACAAAATATATAAAATATAAAGAAAAACATTTAAACGTACACAGAATACAGAATAAAGTAAAGTTTGCACAAAAATAGCTAAAATTTTGTTAAGTATGTATTTAAATAAAATTTTATCATATAGATTCATTCAAGCAATTTTTAGAGATAAAATTTTGTGAGAAATAAAAGACATCCTTGAATTTAAATTGAAAATTGGAAATTGATTGTCCAAGCTTGAAGTAATACTTCTAGCATTACTCCTGACAAGAGCCTGATATAATATTTGTTTATATTGATTACGGCTTGCTTATAAATAAGTAAATAAATAAATAAGTTTGGAATATTGAAATATTTTAACCAGATAACTATGACGCGCTCATGGAACAAAATATTCTATATCTTAAAAATTGAGAATACCTCTTTCTTTCAAAAATTGCAATCTGAATAAGTCAATGAGCAAAAAATTGTACACATGACGAGTATATTACCCATAATGAGCATACTCGTCAATCAAGTTAACTTGTTAAACTAGAAAATCTATCTCTATATGTGATTTTGCTTCATGTATGGCACAACTAAAAAAGTTTCAAGTGATAATGACTCACCTCACAACTTTGCTACGTAGTTCAGAGCTCTTATGAGTCAAAAGTTTCGAATACAAGCTGATTTGTTCCAAATACGATTTTGGAGTGGTATAGTTATACCTTCTTTCATTATGCAAAAATTGTTTAGACATTGTATTAACAGATGTGTGAGCGTAAGCCATAAATTTTGCAGATGCATCTCGATGTGTTTCCTACAAGATTTAAAAGTATATATATACACTACACATATTAATGCATACACAAGATGACAATTCTTAATTAATACAAGATAATATATATGGACCAAGAGCTACTGAACTTCTTGAATAAGGGTCAATAAAAAAAAAAGCAAAAAATGTAAAAAAGTTTTAAAAATTAAACTTTCCCTGTTAGCTTCAAATTTTTATATAATTTCATTCATTTTTTAGAAAGTTCAAAAGCAACGACAGATCTCTATTCACATACACGACGACTAATGACAATCGATCCGTATAGAAATGATATCATCGAGAGCGAATGACGAATCATTGGCACACGACTTTTTGCCGTAACGCAGTTCCGTTGCATTTGTACGGATTTACACCCTAGTCGCGCCTAAAGAAGTTTTACTTCAAAAATAATAAGATGATTGTTTCAAGTTTCAAGAGCACTTACTTGTGTGGTGATAAAAATATAAGAAAAGTTAAAATAGTTTGTACTCGTATATAAAAAATTAAAGTAAGTTAAAATAGTGTAATATATTTGTAGAAGCATTAGATTCGCAACTTAAAAATGTAATAGATAATATTAATTGAACATAGATATTATAATTATTATAATTCCAAGTACTAATATTATAATTATATTTATTATACACAGTGTACATACCGGAAGAACATCAAGTTCTTGGAGAAATCTTAACGATACAGACATAAGTGCTTCGTGCGGCCACTCGTGAAACCAATTAATACACGTACAATTGATAATAGCTGGAATCTTCCTCGATCTTACTCTCAATGATGATCCCACAGGTGAGAAACAAAGCATCACCTTCAGTTGTTTTCTTACACGATCTATGAAGAATTTCCAACAGTTTTCCCGAGTATCGACAATTCCAGCACCTTTAACTTCATTTCGTACTCCACCGATGATGTTTTCTACCTCGTCATCCGGAAACAAATCGGGAATCTCTCCTGACGCCAACATGTCGTTTATTAGCACCATGAATTGCTCGTTTGCTATTTGGGCGTCTGTCATTAGAAACATGATGCCTACGTTTTTGAGACCAGTTTTCATGTATAATCCAGATAATTCAGCCTGAAAATAAAAAGCAATATTAGGACTTCTATTATAGCGTATCGTCCACTGTTGTCAATCGAAACCCTTAATCTCAGACTGAGGAACTAATCTGAAATTATTTAATTAAACAAATTTGTATATTGTAAAGCTATACTATTTGTAAATATTGTACTTAAAATTAATATGGTTGATAAATTTAACTATTCATTTGTAAACTTAAAAAAATAGAAAAGTGCGACAAATCTTGCTGTCGATTTTCTTCTCACAATTTGTTTAACATGTAATATATTTAATTTGTAACTGATATCAAATATCTCATAACTAATAGGAAACTCATTTACTTCATATTTAATAAAATTTGTTTATTTAAGTTTATAAATATATTTACTTTTAAATCAGCAAGTCCATATCCCTTTTTCAATTGTATTTGTGAAACTTCGAGTCCTGATATGAAGGCAGCTAATCTGGACAAAGATTGTTTGCCACTACCACCTACACCAACTAGTAAGGCACTTCCTCGAGGTGATTCCAAAATACGATTTATTCTGAAAAAATATATTAAAAAAGTGCTCTTAATGCTAATTATAAAATTAGTAATGAATTCTCGGTAACACAATTAAAATATTATTGCACATTGCACATCTAATACAATTTATATTAAATTTGAATAATCGTCTTTAAATAATTGATTTTAATTATCTATCAATTTGTCAATTCAATCAATCAATTCTCTTTTTACAAGTGAATGCAGCAAAAGATTTTTCCGAAAGTAATTTGATTAAAAAATGGCAAATGAATATATATGAATATTATATGAATATATAATATATAACATATTTTCAATTACTAATTATAAAAATATTTCAACAGAATCAGTATTAGAATTATTAAAAAATAGACATTTTTACGTCTGTTTTTGCAAATTTTTACGACTTTCGCCAAGATATTAAAAATACATCAACGCAGCAAAATACATTTTTATAGTAGTTACTTTTATTTTCGGCAAATTATCATACATATTTGATGACACCTTAAATCTGTAATATCCAATTATGGCTACTAGTGAATAAATATAAACTTTGTTATTTTTTATTACATTAAAGTAAAGTTCTATTATTTATTAACTTTCTCAGCGAGAGATTTACTAATTCTTTTCTGGAAGTTCATGTCATTCTGAATTTCAATCGTATGTATGAGTGCCTGTGTTTGCGTAGATAAGTTAAAAGTTGACCGTAATCGTAAATGTTTTTAAAATACTTATTTAAAATTTTAAAAACCACTTAGTGAAACTCTATAAGGATTTACGTCGATTAGTTTCTCGTTTTTTTAGTACCAGATTTTAACACAAAAAATCTATATTTATAATGCATCGCTCAGCAGTAACAATATATCACAAGAAACAGATTTTTTATAATTGTAAATAATTATGCATTTACCTGCAGACTTGCATCATTGCATCTTCGAACAGGACAAGATTCATAGCCGAGATTAGATCATTATAACTGAGCATCGCTTCTTGAAGTAATTTATTTAGCTGGGGCCACTCCTTGATGGGCATGTATTTTGGTTCGCCAATTCCACTTGCAAAATGGCAATATATATTGGGAAGTTCAAATATTATAGATTCATCCAATTCCTATCATAAGGCATAATTAGTAGACTTTAAATATGTTTATGTATTAGCAAGAAAATACTTACCTCAAAACTTTTTTTTGCTATATCAATTTGCATCTTAGTAAAACTTTCAATATCTTTGTCATCTATTAATTTATCTCCATATACTCTATGGGTCTCGTGCATCCAGAGACGTATTAAATCTTCTTGGCAAGTCAGACAGTCATTTGTGCTGAATAATAATCCCTAATAGAAAGAGATACAAGTAACTGATTTAAGAAGGATAGAGGCCTCATTTACATAAATGTACAATAAAATATTTTATTCTGAAATTAATAACTTGAATAAAATTTTCCCATCCTCATATCCTATTTTACTAGAAGCGCAAAAAAAATTGCAGTAAAGTATCAGGATACTTTATTTTATCCATGAGATGAAAATGTCACGTCCAATAATTAAATTAATTCATTTTTATTATTCATTAACATATTTTTTGTAGTAAAACTTTTTTAGGCGCAACTAGAGTGTAAATCGTTACAAATGCAACGGAAATAGCGTTACGCCCGAACTGCACATCATTCGCTTTCGATGAAATCATTTCTAAACGGGTCGATTGTGATTAGTCTTCGTGCATGTGAATAGAGATCTGTCGTTGTATGCGTAAAAAGGAAAATATTTTTTAGGCAAAACAGATATTACATCTGCTCAAAGAATGATATTATATCGCGAGCGAAAAAGTAAAAAAGAATACAAGCAGTCAATAATTGCATGTTAATTTTAATTACATGAAGTTCTTCAAACACAATTACATGATTAGTGAAGTTGCAAAAATAATATTTGTTTAGGCGTTGTTTAACATAATCCACTGTGTGAACAAATATTACAGAATTTATTAATCAGCAATTACTTCATTTCTCTAATAAAGGTTCATTTCTAAACGCTAATTACAATGACAAACCAATCATGTCATATTTGAAGTATAATTTTAATTATATTATTGTTTTTAAATATTATACATAATTTTAATGCTATTAATATATAATTTATAACTTATCATTATAAATGTGTATAATAGTTGGCACTAAAAATATGTGCATCACGAGTGTTACCATATTACTAATATACATTATTCAAAATTGTTATATGATGTATTTATTTTTACTTAAATGGCATCTTCTACAGTGTTTCTACAAATAAGTTTTACTTCAATCGTAAACCTTACGCGTACTCTTTTTTTTATAATATTGTAGCTTTATCATCAGCTTTACATAGTTCTGACTTTTTCTCGTTGTTAAATCCATATAAATCAGTATTGAATTTTGACAATTTGAAGTAGAAATGTAACTTATAAATAAATTAGGGTTGTAATAAATAATAGACCAGGAAAAAATGGTGCGTGATTTTCATTTAGTTTAAATAAGATATTAATCTAACATGCATGCAAATCTTGATATTGAAGAATCAGTAATATGCTAATTTTTACTAACCTGGAAAACATTGGATAATTCCCTCAAATTGAATACATAATGAAATTTAACAGCAGTTGGAAGAAAAATCTGCGAAGATTTGTTGTGAAGTGTTAAAGAAGCAGTTACAATATTTGGTACCAGACGAGTTACTGTCGATACAAATTTTTGTTCGGCATTCGCAAAATGTTGACTCAAAATTGTGCTGTAGATCGACACCAGAGACTCATTGCAAGGAAAACTAAAAATAATTATAAAAATTGACATTAAAAGCATTAGCATAAGTTGAACATCAGTAGTTAATTACCAGCAATCAGTTTTGTTTTATGTTACATGTATATTTTGTGACATGTATTTCTTGTCCTTTTTGGGTGAAATTTAAACAGATAAAGAAAAATCTAACTTAACTAAGACAAAATAGGAAAGGAAGAAGAAAAGGAAAATTCAGTACAAGAAAACAAATAATTTCTTGTTTAAGAAATTATGTTTTGTTCTTGTTTAGGAAATTATATATTGTTATGTTAAATTCATAAGCTGTGTTTAAATAATTATGTTGTGTTGAATTACATATTTCTGACAATAAAAGTCGTTATAAACCACTTTGGTGTTCATAGCCATTGTTTTTTACCCTATTTCCACGTCTGTCACAACCGTCCCGTTTCTTTCATTATTTGGTTTTATGACTTTATTTGATTTTATCGTATTTGAGGACAGTATTTCAGTATTTTTTCGTAAACAATGTTTAATTTACCATTTAATTAAATTTTTTTCTAGCTAGTTGGTAAATTAACAAAAATATTGCTGATCAAAAAAATATCATTAATTATATTATTCATAATATACTTCCAATCTGTTGAATGCAAATACATTGCACAAGTTTATAAAATAAATTACAGTAGTATTTAAAACTTGATTTGATTTATTATTCAAAAAATTTAGATATGAAAACAAAACTATCTATATTTCCTTAATGATATTTTTATATTATTTGAACAGAATAGAAAAATATTTATTAAAGTTACAAGTTATCACAATTTTTTTCGAATCACTCGTATATAAATAGAATCCACAGTAGGGTATTAGATTCTTAATAAATGTGTTACTTTCATTAACATTAAATCAATTTCAAATCTTTAATAAATATTTTTGTACATTTTTTATAATTTTATTAAATTGTGAAGAAGCATGCTATTGCCGATTCTCCTGTTTGTGTTAAATATTAACGAAAGTAATTAATTTAAACTGTTGCATTTGAATTTAAGATTTTTCAAGACGAACAGCATCTAAAGACTTAGACGATTTTTTTATTTCAAACGATCTATAACTGCCTTTTAAAATATTCATATCAGTTCTTATTATTTATATTAAAATATTTAAAAATACATAGTCATTTTTATCAAATCAAATTGTGGATGACGAGAACGTAAAATAAAAGATGTGTTCTAAATAGTAAAATTTAATATAAAATTATGTCTATAAAAACTGTTGTGAAATGCTTGGACATACAAAACTTTTAATTAGGACTTTTAGACTCCTTTTACTCTATAGGTAGTGTTAAAGAAAAACTAAAATATGATAGAAAGATATTAAATAATTTATTATATAGTATTTGTTGGTACTAATGATAATAATACTGTTAAAACTAATTATAGCTGTTAATCAAGTAATAGAAACAGTTTTAAGTCTTAGGTACTTACCTGACTGCAAAAACTGTAAAATGCCTCTGCAGTCTTGGATTAATTGTGAAACTACCAGAAGTGGGATTCATACAGGATACATATTGACAATTGTGGATATCCTTTAGTACAAGTTTGTTTCGGTCATACCAATGATTATAATCCATGTGCTGGCGAATGAGAGTGTGCGGCTGAACTGTGCCGTAGGCATCGACCTGTAATCAAATATAATTAACTAGTGGGGCGCATGGCGTCGTGCCTTAAGGCAAATTGCTGGAACTTCCCGTACCGTAATTAAACATTCGAGGAATAAATATAGTCAATAATGGTTTTGAATAATTTCGAATAGATTATTTGTTACATACTGTAAAGAAAGTGCTTTTTAAATTGGGCGACGAGCGTATTTTATGAACAATTTACGTGTACGTTTACACGAGGTCATTTTTTTTAAATTATATTTTTTTGATTATTTAGACATTATATATTTAGACATTATATCAAAATTTTGAACATTTTTTAGATGTTTGAAAATTTTTGGAATTTAAAAAAAAACGTTTTTTCTAAATATTTTGAGAATTTGAAAAATTTTGAAAATATTCGATTTTTTTTAAATTATCGAAATCATCTCAAATTTTTGTGAGAAATATTTTTTTTAAATTTTTCAAAATTTAGTTTTTTTTTGAAAACGATGAAAAATTTCTAAAATTTGAATTTTTTTAAACTTTGTTTTTTTTTTGAAAATTGTGATTTTTTTTTCTTTTTCAAAATTTTCAAAATTATTAAATTTTCTGTAAATGCATTTTTTGCACACCGTCTACTTAAGCAAAATGTTTTTTGAATTAATCTAATCGGATGATCCGTTCTCTCAGAAACTGCATAACCGTTTTTACACGCTTTGCGCTCCATACTTCCGAAACGGCATAATTGCCTTTTGCAAAAACGCCTCGCGATCGTATACGAACCAAATGATTTTTTAATCATGCAAATCGGTTATTCCATACTGTCGGAAATGTCGAGGACATTGGGTTGAACCATATAAATAAACATCAAAATTAAAAATCTTGGTACGAAACCCAAAAAAATTACACAAAATTTGTACACAATATTAAAATCTCTATAAATTATCTGATAATTTGATTGCATTGTCTAATGATCATTTTTGACCGCCAAAAAGCATTTTTTTAAATTATTTTTATTGAGAGTCCATAACCGCTAGACCTGCCTTCTCAAAAATTTAATCAATTTTTTATCTTGTCAATACAAGTAAAATGTTTTTTGAATTATCAAAATCGAACTCCGTTCTCTCAAAAACTGAATTACCATTTTTGGCATTTTTTGCCCCGTATCTTTGGAACGGCTAGACCTGCCTTTGCCAAAAACTAATCAGCACGTCTCCTTATGAATACGAATCGAATGTTTTATGAACGAGATCGACGAAAATTTGTATCCGCACACATACACACACGCACACACACACATACACACACGCCACACATACATCCATTTTTTCTAAGGTTGCCAAAATATTCAGAAACCTTTGAAACGTAAAGATATATAAAAACTTTCAGTTTCGATTTTTTTGGGATTACTATAATTTGCCATACGAGAAGTTAACTAGTGGTATGATGCCTTAAGACAAATTGCTGGAACTTCAGAGTATAAAATATTTTCAAATAAATTTAAAAAAAATACATTCAAAAGAATTATATATAATAAGTAATAATAATAATGAGTGTAATTATATTAATATATAAGAAACAAAATATAAAATACACTTTAAAAAATTTAAATAAAGTTTGAGTAGATAACCGGTAAGTTGCATTTTGGATTGAGTCAACTACATTTTCAAATCTTCCTAAAGTTGTTTTTAACTTCCCGTAGGGTAAGTTATAATAATCGCAAAAAAATCGAAAATGAAAATTTTTATATATCTTTACGTTTCAGAGGTTTCTAAACATTTTGGCATACCTTAGAAAAAATGGATGTATGTGTGTGTGTGTGTGTGTGTATGTGTGTGTGTATGTATGTACGTGTGTGTATGTATGTGCGGATACAAATTTTCGTCGACGATTTCGGGAACACGGATCAACCGATTTGAATAATTCAAAAAGCATTCGATTCGTATTGATAAGGAGACGTGCTGATTAGTTTTTGGCGAAGGCAGGTCTAGCCGTTCCGAAGATACGGGGCAAAAAGTGCCGAAAACGGTAACTCAGTTTTTAAGAGAACGGAGCGTCCGATTTTAATAATTCTACTTGTATTGACAAGATGAAGAAGTGATCAAATTTTCATGAGGGCAGGTCCATCGGTTTCGGAGATTTAACGAAAAAAGTAAAAAAAAAAATGCCATTTGGCGGTCAAAAATGATCATTAGACATATGCACATCAAATTATCAGATATTTTATAGAGATTTTAACAATAAGTATACATTTTGTTAACATTCCTATGGGTTCCGTACCAATGCTTATGCGTTAGACAGCAACGCGGCGCTTACGCGCTTTATATTTTGTCCCTATGCAGTTAAAGCAGTACGATTGCTTTGAAAAAAGTTCAGATCTTCCACAATATGTCAAAATAAAGAAAAAAAATTTTTCTCAAAAAAAAAATTTTTTTTTTTTAAAATTTTTTTTCAAAAAAAAGTAATTTTTTGTCCAATTTATAGTTTCTCAAAAATCTTATTTTTTCAAAGTTATTTTTTTTCAAAAATCTTAATCGTTTTTAAAAAAATAATAATTTTTGGTACGGGAAGTTCCAGCAATTTGCCTTAAGGCACGATGCCTTAATTGCCTTAAGACAGAATTCCACTTACAGCTAGTTATTTTTATGAATAATATATGCATTCGCTCTTTTCAGAATATGTTTATGCATAACAACTTTTTGAACTCTTTTGACAATTTGCCCAAAAATATTTGGTACCTTGGTACACTGAATATTATAAATTTAGTTGTTTTAGTGACGTACTAGACACTTAGATGATGATTTTTTGTTTGTTTCAATTTTAAATTATAATAGTATGCTGCAAGCACAAAAACAAATGTGCAATCAAAATTTCAAGTATAAATATCATTCAAAATTTTTTTTTACAAAATTATGGTTATAAGACAGAGGAACAGAGGAAATGTAAGTAAAAATCATTATTAGAATATTGTATTTTCACATAATGTATTTTAAAATTTAATTTTGTTTTTTTTTTTTAATTTTTTTCGTGTTTTAAATTTTATGCCTATTCCAAATGTCATTCATCTGCTGCATTTTTTTTATTCGAAAATAAAATCTTTGATTTTAATTTAATAGTAATATATTTAATACCGTACTGTCATCTAATTTAACTTGACTTTCAAACGTTTTAATTTAATTAAAATATTTAGTGGATTTATTTTTCTTTATTACAACTTGATATGAATATTTTTTATTCATATGTTTTAAGTTTATCCGATTTATTCAAAATATTTGTTAACTTTTCCGATATTAATTTTGCTATTACATTATTTCATTATCAAACATTAATTATATTAATGAAACATCTATTAGAAATAATTTAAAACTAGTGGTGCATGGTGTCGTCCGTGGCTCAGGCAAATTGCTGAAACTTCCCGTACCAAAAACTGAAGTTTTTAAAAAAACTTTTTTAGAATATATCGGACGCCCCGTCCTCTCAAAAACTGAATTACGATTTTTGGCTCTTTTTGTCCCGTATCTTCAAAACGGTTAGACCTGCCTTTGCCAGAATCTAATCAGCACGTTTCCTTATCAATTGAAATCAAATGTTTTTGAATCATATCCCCAGCATACATACGCACACATACGCACACGCAAACACACCCACATACACATACATTAATTTTTTCTAAGGTATGCCAAAATGTTCAGAAACTTCTTAAACGTAAAATTATATATAAAAGTTTTTATTTTCGACTTTTTGCGATTACTATAACTTGCCCTACAGAAAGTTAATAATAAAATTTCGTTTTATTTCAAATTTTCATATTAAGTTATGATAATGAGATATAATAGAATTTGAAATAGTATTATCATATGCTACTATAGTTCTATTAACATTATTTTAGCAGTTCAGGCACCATGGTATCGAGACGCACAAGAAAGGAGGCGAAATCACGGTTGATAAGTTCGACTACCCTGTCAGAAGTCTTGATTAATGAGGCCAAGAAAGTAATTGAAAAATAAAATTAATATATACTATTAAAAAAAAGTATCAATACAACTGAAATAACATCATAAAAACGAATATATGAATGTAGTATGGTAGGAATTTACAAAGACTTTGTAATTTAAAATGAAATCAGTGAAGGATATATTAAAAACTAAATATAGACTTCAGTTACCACTTCCATAGGTTTTAACTAAAAATTATAGATAGCAAAAAATTTTTAGTAAAATAGCCCTTATCTGAAAGCATTGTAAAGTAATAAGTAAGTAATATTGAAAATTCATCACAAAAAATCTGATAATTGTTTGGGTTGCCATCTATAAACGTTCTTAAAAGTCAAAATTTATGACAACTCATAATACCCATAATATATATATATATATATATATAGAATATTATTATTATTATCATTTATATTATTATTATTATTATTGCAGAAGCGTGCAGCTAAAACTTCGGGAATTCATAAGCATTCTAATTGGCAGCGACGAACCCGAAACACGCTACAACGTAGTCAAGCTAATATGGATACAAATCAAGGAGAGAAAACTCCAAGATCCTGAAGACCCAGCCTATATCGACTGTGATGCTGAATTTGAGGATGTGACTGGGATGGTACGCCTTAAAGGCTTTACTATTATGAAGTACCTCAACCACCACTTTTTAGAATAGATCAAACCAGTAACAGTTCAGTCTCATGAGAACACAGTTTATGCTCGTCACTGTTTAATATTTGGGACTTCATTTGGACCGTCGACTCTACATTTGTCTAAAGCGTAAACATCTTGAAGAAAAACTAAGACAACTATATTGGCTGCTGGGTCATAAACTTTCGTCGATGTCAAACAAAACCCGAATCTATAAATCAATTCTGAAACCCATCCGGACATATAGCATCCAGCTTTGTGGTACTGCCAACCAATCAAATATCGCGATTCTGCGGAAGTTTCTGGTTAATTTGTTTAAGGAAATCGCCGACGCATCAAAATGCACTCCCAACTGTCTTTTCCACGACGAACTGGGAGTTACTTTTATCAAGGAAGAGA